TAAAATATTTGTTTATCTGTTCTGATGCACTTTCTGATGGCGCATATATTCCAATGATCTCGAGATTGCACCGTTTCCACGTAATATATACTCTAATATTTCTCTCATTGATTTCTTCCCAGCTTTTCCAGTTTCCTTTTTTAAGTCTTTTTTATTTATATTGATTTAGTAGCAGGTTTTCTGAAAATTAAATAAAATTTTCCTTCTTTTTGAAGTCTTAGTCTTAGTATTTTGTTAATTTTATTATTGACTCTAGCAGTACAGTGAAAGTATAAAAAAACAAATAAAATATAAACAACAAATTGATTAGTTCTTGGCGAGGTTATATATATATACATACATACATATATATATATATATATATATATATATATATATATATATATATATATATATATATATAATCCATTAAGCCATATGCCATAAGCCACAAACAACAGAGATGAATGGCGAGAATTAGGAGAGGCCTATATTCGGCGATCCAAATGAAGAAAAGGGCATATAAAAAAAGGTATAAGCAGGTAGAAAGGAGTACCGGATGGATACTTCTCTGCGATCACGGCAGGGGATAGATCTACTTCAGGAACAACTTACCTGCCCACGCAAGCTTATAGATTTCCCAGCCTCCTAGGAAAATTATGTCCAAACCCAAAGCATTCTTAGTTCTCTACGCTTTCCTCCCTTCACTTCCAAACTAACTTGCTAACACACACTAGCTAAGCAAGACGTTTTAAAAGCTTAAAACCCCAAAAGTTATTGTACATGAAAGACGAAACTACTAAACGTCAGTCAGTCTTCGGCGGCTTCAACACCCCCAACCAAGGTAGCAGTTGGAACAGGTTTGGCGCAGAGGGTGCTAAGAATCACTGGAAAAATCAGGCTAATACAAAGAGCGACAAATACATAATACTTCACACAATGTTAGAACTCTTATACCAGACCAGAATATGATGGAACTGGAGGAAGAGCTGAAAAATATAAAATTGAACATTTACGGCCTCAGTGAAATAAGACGAAGAGGAGAAGCTTAAAGTAGTGTTAAATCAAGACACCTTTTTTCATTTTAGAAGTGAAGAAGACACTACAACTGGTGGAGTAGAATTCATTATACATACAAAGCACACACAAATATAGTTGAAATTATCAGATTAAGCCCCAGGATTGTATATCTCATCTTCAAACTAAATAAAAGATTTAACCTTAAAGTAATGCAGACCTATGCCCCAACGTCTACCGACTTGGATAAAGAAATTGAAAAAAATTATGAGGACATAGAACCAGCGTTACATGCCACACCAGCATATTAAACAATAATTATGGTAGCTTGATATAAGGTTGGATGCTCGAATAAATGAACTTTGAAAATAAAAAGCAAATATCGAGCACAATTTTAACAATTAAATCTTGCCCAAGTACTTTCGCTTAAAACAGCATCATCAGGGGCATTTCGTCAAGTTTAGGCTATCCAGCAAGCATAGAATATGATAAACGTGAATATTAACATAAAATTTTACAAAACAATACACTAAAACAAGGACAAACAGTTTAAAATTAATTGAATGGTTCTACGCTCTACAGTCTTTGTCAGTAACAGGAGAGAGAAAACTTTGTCTCTGTTGAAATGTTAAAAGCGTTGACAGAGTGCCAAATCGGCTATCGTTATACTATCATAATTAAATATATCTTCCAAAATGCCACAGCTAGTATAAGACTATCTAAACAAGAAACAAATAAATTCTGTATACAGCTAAGAAGTGCGACAAAGAGACCCATTCTCTTTAAAGATATTACTACCTTTTAAAACATACTTGTGAGGAGGCACATCTGAACGAGCATGGTATCAACATAAATGGAGAGAAGCTCAGTTATTTGAGATTTGTAGATGACACCGTCCTTAAAGCCGATCGTATGGATGATGCAATAATAATGTTTGAACAATTATATCACGCTTCCTTGGAGGTCGGACTAAAGATTAATATGAACAAGATGCAAATAATGACTGATCTGGTGCTAAATCGAGATATTGCTGTTAATGGAAGGGATATTGTGCCGACTATATCATATAAGTACCTAGGAAATAAAATTTGGTTGGACAGAGACAACCGAACCAGCGTTTGGTAAATTAAACTATGTATTTAAATCGGATCTACCCATATGTCTCAAAGGGAAAATCTTTTACCAATGTGTGATACCTGTACTCACTTATTGAGCTAAAACATTAACACTCTCAAAAAAGGTAGTTAATAAGATTCTCGTGACTTACATGGCTATGGAGTGCCGGATGTTGGGTATCTTTTTGAGAGACCAAATCCCAAATGAAGAAATATGTCGTAGAACAAAATTAACAGATGCCATCGAACAAATCGCGTCGTTAAAATGGAGTTGAGCATGACACGTCACCATATTATCAGACAACCGATTGACAAAACGTATTTTAGAGTGGAGACCAAGGAAAGAAGGAATACGGAGCAGAGGAGGCCCACCAACTAGATGTACTGAAGAGACCTGAAGCGTATTAGCAATAACTGGATGCAAGCCTCACAAGGCAGGGTCTGATGGAAAGAGCTAAGGGAGACCTTTATCCAGCAGTGGATGCATACAGGGTAATGATGATGATAACGATGAAACATAAGCTTTAAGGCCAATGTTGGATAATTAGATTTCATAAGATGCGCCTTTTGAATATTTTATTTTAGTTGTAGCCCTAATACATCTGTTATTTTTGTTGAATTTTAAATTGACTCCTGTTTTGTCTTTACATGTGTTTTTAGTAGCCCAAGTTAATATTTTTCTTCACCTTTTCAAATTATAAGATTTATCCTGTTGTTCACATGAAATTTGTATGTACCTTGATATAGCAATATGTACCTTAAGGCCCATTTTAGTACCAGTCCATATCACTCAGATCTTATTACTGGATAGGGTTACAAAAATAACTGATAAATAAATAACTAGTTTAATTAAGCATAGCAAAATAATTTTCTTTACAAGGCACATTATAAATAATTGCTATAACTTTTTTTGTTTGGTTTATAATTTGACTAAAACACTTAATGAACAAATAATAGCCGCCCATGTTAATACCCTTAAAAATTTACAATTATCTAATTTTCAGATCTACTGAATATTTGTGAAATCATAATCGACGAACAGAATTATCTAAGTATAATAAAAACTTCAATTTTAAAAATATATTCCGATGATAAGATATAAGACACTTAGAGCTAAAATCAATCATTTAATTATAAACCTCACCTAATAGTGTAAAGATGAGTGTGAAAAATATAGAAAAACTTCTAGAACCACATGTTGGTAAGGACAAAAAGATAATTGGAACGCAAATGACTAATTTAGTCAATCCTGGAGAAAATTATGGCGGAGAATTATTTAAAATAGATGTTACGCTTCAAGATTTAAACACCCAGAAAGAAGAAGTGTTACATATTGTAGGTAAGCAGCAGATATTTAAATAGGAAGTGTATGTTTATGACTGAGTGATTTGTTCTTATATTTAATTTAACACAGATCAACATTGAACACCAAATTGTATATATACATCTTATCCTTCTTCTTCTTCTTCACTGGTTTTACAACTCCATCCACTATCGCCATCATTCCTCTACGACCTTGCGCTTCTCTTTTACATTGTTGTACCCCAATTCTAGATAAATCGGCTTCAATATCAGCGCTTTTCAGTTAGTGAGTATTGTTGATGTTGTGTTCGACTTAGACATGGCGAATAGCGAATACAAAAGGCACAAAATAAACTGAAAAAATTGTAGGAGGCGGTGCTTTCGGCTAGTAACGAAGACTTTTACCCTGATATTAGTGAATATGCGAATAAAACCGTAACCGTTGTGTTTCGAAACTATTTTACGGTTTTATTGTCAGATGTCGCTATTGCGTCCGTATTGAAGCCATTTTAGTGTTGCTTCTTAAAAGACAGAAAATATTGATCTTTCCCGTTGAGAACACCTTTGAATAAGTGTTCTGATGAGACCTATTAGGTCGAAATACGTATCAACAGATACAAAGGCGTTTTTTGCATGAAATCAAATATTTGCTGTCTTTTCACTTTAATCGGATATACTCTGTACGAGTACTAGAAACCAATTCGCTAAGGATTTCTGCTTAGTTGAAAAGACGTGTCGTGGAATGCAAATTTTAGATTCCCCACGTCTCTTTTAACATCTTTATTAACGTCTGTTTTGCTTTGCCAATTTTAGAAAGCACAGATAAAAGCAGAAATCTGAATTGTGTTTGGAAACTATTTTATGGTTCAATTAACTTATTTTAAACCTATGGCTTACTCCCAAAAAAGAGTAATTATGATTAAGTAAAGTTAAACCGTACAGTACAACATTGTGGTTGAGAGAAGTTTTGTGTAGTATTTTTATTGATAACTTAAGTTTCTGACCTATACGTCAACACTGGCTGAATCATAGCCTGATACATTTTTTTTGTCTTTTTGTAAGTTTTTACTGAATAAGATCTGTAAGTAGATGACACAAGCTGATAAGTCACATTTTTGGCCAAAATGAGTTATGTATATGGACATGTTCAAAAACAGGAGATCTACCAGATGTTAAAATATGATAAGTTGAATCTTTGTAAATAACATAATATAGCCCTGGTCCAAACGTGATATGTGATTTTTCTCCAATTCCAAAGATGTCAAAAGCAGTTAAGTAGGTACATAACAATATTTTGACATTGTTTTTAACTTAATCCAGTCATGGTAAGATGGCAAAATTAGATAAGTACTTTTACCAGTTTTTGTTTACTTTTGCAAGTTTAATTTGTAAGTCAACACAAGATGGCAGTAACTGTTATGTGCTCTTATCTAAAATTTCGGCTTTGTCTGATGAAATATTCCTAGTTTAAACAGATGGCAAAACTTGATAAGTTGATTTATCATATTTTGTCATCTTCAGTTAATGTTAGAAATTGCCATTTTATCAGCTGATTAATAAACATACCTTATTTTGTCATCTGTCACAGTAGTTATTTTTCTATTCAACTACTGTTTTAATGTTGATTGTATTTTTTCAAATGCAAGTTGTTAGTGACTAAATTGTGTAAATAGTAAAATCCTGACTATGAGTTATAAAAACAAGAGTAGTGTAAGTAGCAGGACAAAACTGTTAGTGTCTTTGGCAGTCAAGGGAGACGGAATTACTTCTCAATCAGAGAATTTTGAGGTTAGTATGATTTCTGTCTTGTTTGTACTTTTTATTTTCTTATACTAAAATAAAATGGGAAATTTCTCTATTTTGTATCATTTATGATTAAAAAACAGTAATTTCCTTGTAACAGAGCTAACAATCTATACATTAAATTAATTATTATGCACATGTTACAGGATAGGTCTGAGTCAAGTACTATTTTGACTGAAGTAAACAATCATCATAAGGAAGTTAAAGAAAAAGATTTCTATTTTGAATGTAAAAATAGGTATACATTTGAAGACAATCAGGTTCTTGACATAGAGAATCTTCCAATCACAATAGAAGACGGAGATATTGAAATTCCTATTTTAGAATCATTCCCCATTGAAACATCAGAAAATGTGGAAATATTTAGTATTATAAAAAATAATGAACATGGTATTGAAAACAGTTTCAGAGAGATTACCACACTCGATGTAAGTTACTAGAATTTAGGGTAACAACATAATTTTTAATAGCTACACTTTAACAGAAATGATTCAGCACTCTATATAAGTAAAGTCTGACGTCAGTTTATAAAACATCACTCTTATTAACCATGTTCAGTGGTTCTGAATTTTAAATTTAAAATCCAAAGTCCTATCTTTTACAGACCACGTGGACTGGTTTGTATTAGACAGAGCAAATAAGTAATGGGTATTAAATTTCACTTTACTAAACGGAGACATTATTTTTCAGGATATATCTGTGGAATTTCAACAATATATTCCAACTGAAAATGAAAAATGCCAAACTACTGAATCTATGAGCAAAGGAAATGAGACAGAAAAGAATAAAAATAGCGCCGAGTTAAAAGAAATTGTTGAAGATAGCACTATTTTTCAGGTAAGTTAAATTTTTGTATGTTTATTTTTTATACCTTCAAATTTTGCATTAATGCTTGTTTGGCCTAGGTACTGACCTAATCTTAATTATTTTTTACAGGAAATTTGTGGAAGTGATGCGGATTATACATATTCTGATCCTGATTGGTTACCTGATTCGAAAATTAGTGCAAAGCGACCAAAACTTATGAAAATTGATATCATCTCAAAAAGTTGTTCCGCCAAAGGACAAAAAGATAGTACGGGTATGGTACAATTATATTGTCTGTCGTTAGTCACTTGATTGTATTGTTGGTATTTACCTAGAGAAGGTGTAATAATTAGATACAATAAAATAGTAACTATAAATTCTATGTAGGTTTTCTGCTGTTATGATTGTGTTCACCAACATGATTTATTATTGTTACAGATGATGTTGCATCTACGCTTGGAAACGTAAGAACTTATTCCGAGACTCATTTCATAGATGACAACGAAAACGCTGAAAATCCCATAGAAGCAGTAGAACCCAGTAAATATACAAAAAGAATAAAAGGTATAAGGAAAAGAGAAAACGAAAAGTTAAAAAAAAATCACGGATTGGACTATAAAAATAGGAAAGGCAAATTGTTTTCATCTAGAACTTTCAAACCAGTTGAAAAATGCTGCATTAAGAGAAAGTGTAATGAGAAGATTACATCAGAAAACCAAAGAAAAATATTTAATGATTTTTACACACTTCCAGTTTGTGCAAGAGACCAAGCATTAGCTGACAGAATTAGAATTTCTACGCCAGCAGTAAGTCGGAAAAAGGAAGATACATGTGAAACCAGAGTTACTCATGATCGACTAGTGACTGTGTCATACTATGTTACTTTAGATGGAACTACAACAGAAATATGTAAAACTATGTTCATTGGTGTTTTTGGTTTAAGTAGAGGCAAGGTGGATGTCATTATTCAAAAAGTGAAAGCTTCTTCATCTAGAATTATCCAAGGAGATATGCGAGGTAAGCACCCACAACAGTTTAAAACTACTAGCGAGGAAATTGAAGATATTAATGCATTCATAGACAGATATCCTAGGCATGAGAGCCACTATGCTAGGAGAGATAGCTCCTCTAAAAAAGTATTTCTACCAAGTAATTTAAATGTTAAGATTATGTATAAGGAATATTGTGAGCACAGAAATGAAAATGGTCACACTAAGTCCGCATGCTATGATGTTTTTAGAAAACAGTTTAATGCCAAAGGATATAAATTTAAAGAACCATTTATTGACACATGCAACAAATGTGATGAGTTTATTTTAAAGAAAAGACATTCAACCAATAAATCTGATCGCCAAATTGTTTCTGATATGCACGACTCTCACATCAAAGAGGCCCAAGAGGGTTATGATATGAAAAATCATGATAAAAATCTAGCGAAGTACTATGACAATAGAGTTCTATTAGTGTTTGATCTCCAACAGGTTCTTCCTGTACCTTACTTATCATCAAATATTGCATATTATAAGAGGTTTCTATCCATGTACAACCTCACTATAAGAAACTGTTCAAATGACCAGGATTCTTCTTATTGCTGTATGTGGAGTGAGATAGATGCAGGCAGAGGCTCTGATGAAATTGCCTCGTGTGTTTTCAAAAAAATTATGGATCTTCCAAACAATATCGAGTATGTCACCACATACTCAGACACCTGTGGAGGACAAAACCGAAACATTAACATTGCCGCCATGTTTTGTTATGTTCTGACCAAGAAGAAAACCATTCAGGTAATTGATCAAAAATTTTTGCTACCTGGTCATACACGTCTCGAATGCGACAGCGATCATGCTCGTATTGAAAGAGCGAAAAAAATACTTCACTCTTCAGTTAACAAAAACAGTATCAGTGATACGTACAGAATCATGGTGCCACGTGATTGGTGTCAGTTCGTCCGCACACTTTCTGGGAGAAAGAAATTTAAAGTTATTGAAATGCAACAACTTGACTTTAAGGAATTTTCTAGTCTGTTGAAAAATGTGTTGGTCCATCGGAAAACTGACAGTGAAAAACAAAAAGTCGAATGGTTGAAAATCAGGTGGCTACGATACACTCAAGATTTTGGACAAATTTATTTCAAGTACGATCTTAACCCATTTTCTCCATTTAAAAGCTTTAGTATATTGAGGGGTAAGAAGGGTCGACCAGAAAACTTGGAAGTTGCAAGATCATATGCTGGACCTTTGCCAATAAACCCGAAGAAAAAGAAGGATCTTCTCTCAATGTTTAGCCTCATTGATCCCCAGTTCCATTCGTTCTACAAGAAGCTGACCACTGATACAAACAGTCGTGAGTTTGATGAATTGGATGAGTTGGATGAAGAAGATAAAGTTTAGTTTCTACTTTCTTGTTTTACTCAACAATTTTTATTTTTCTTTGAATGTAATGTTTTAAAAATAATGTAACTCTGTCAACTAGCAAGGACAATTTTGAAAAACAACGTATAAATACTGATTTAATAGTTATATTAATAAAAACTGCTATAAGTCTGAATTGTTGTTATTATCAAGATGTCTTTCAAATTATTTCACATATTTTTTACATAGAAATCGAAAATAAATTTAAAACTACACAAACACTTGTAATAAACCCTTTAATATAACTAATTCTTGCTTGAAAATTACTGGTAATTTATCCATAAAAAAAAGCATTACCAAAAAAGAGTTATGAGGAATAATTTCCCTATATAGTTATGTGGTGATTTGAGTCATATGGCAGACGACAAAACATGATATCTTTTACATCACTTACAAAAAAAAATAATTAGTAAATTTAAATAACATTGTTATTGCTTGATATTTTGTATTCAGTTAGTAAAAGAACAGCTGCATAGTTAAATATAAAATTTGCTATGAATAACTTAATAACTGATTTTTAGAACCCTGCTAAACTTTAAAATTGCTCTCCTGAAAAGTTGATGAAACATGACTTATCAGCTTATGTCATCTACTCACAGAGATTAAATGTAATCCTTTTATTAAAAAGGTATAATACAGTGCAAAGAATATTATAATATAAAATTAATACGTTTATCTATAAATAGCTTTAATTTAAATACTTTTTAGGTAAAATCATTCCACCAGATGACAATTCACAAGAAATATTTAACGTCCAAAATACCTTTAAATCAGAAATAGGATTCTATGAAAAAATTGTACCGACGCTTCAAAACTTCCAAAGAAAACATAAAATCGCAGACATACTTGATTTGTTTCCTAAATTTTATGGAAGCAGACTTAACTTAAACGGAAGCGACAAAGTTGATAGAGATGGTGTATTATTACTAGAAAATTTAAAAATAGAAGGTGAGATTGTTTACTAATAACGAAGTTTCCCTTATTTCTTAATTATAACTATCTTTCTAAAACTAGTATTATTTTTTAAGTAATTGAATTATGTTGATTATAGTATTTTCCTCATCTGCCTCGTTTCTAATCAAATGTTTTATTGGACTGTATATACAGTGGGTGATCAAATTATTAGAGCCACTCCATAAAATTTTACTTTTTGTTTAATCTTCTTCTTCTTCAGGTACCGTCTCCTCTAAGGAGGTTGGTAATCATCGCAGCTATTTTCACTTTTGAGATTGCAGCTCTGAACAATCGACGGAACTGCAATTATAACACTTTCTCAGATTGTTGAGGCAGGATATGCGTCTTCTTCCAATACTTCGTTTTCCCTGTATTTTCCCTGTATTATGGTTTATAGCAACACATATTTATCCCCTCTCATAACGTGGCCGAGATATTGTAACCTTCTTATCTTAATCGTATTCATGATTTCCATTTCCTTTGCCATCTTTCTGAGGACTTCAACATTTGTTATTCGGACTACTCAACTTATTTTTACATATTCTTCGCTAGGTCCACATCTCGAATGCTTTAAGTCGATCGCTCACCTCTTTCTTTAAGGTCCACTCCTCCACGCCATACAGCAGCACCGAAAACACATATGAACGTAATATTCCCATTTTGAGTTGCAATCTAAGGTCCCTACTGCATAATACTTTTCATCATCTTATTAAATGTTGCTCTAGCTTGTCCAATTCTCATTTTTATTTTTTCTGTATACTCGTTATTTTCATTAATAATTGTACCAAGACATCTGTATTTTTTTTTCTTTTTCCATTGGATTCCTTCCTATGTTTAAAATGTCTTGTTGTTGTATTTTGAAAATTGTCATAAATTTGGTTTTATTAGCATTAAGTGTTAGTCCGCTTTTTTCACTAGCATTTACTACATTATGTAAGAGTGTCTGTAGATCTTGTATATTCTCTGCAATTAGCATAGTATAATCTGGATATCTGATATTGTGGATGGGTCTGCCGTTAACTTTTATTCCAATTGCTACATTTTCGAGTGGTTTTTTAATTTTTTCTTCCGAATATAGATTGAACAATAAGGGGAAGACTATGCAACCTTGCCTTACGCCTCATTTTATCTTTACTTCCTCTAAAAGTTCTTTACCTACTCTGTAAGTTGGTCTTTGCTGTTTGGTTAAAGTAGAGATGAGTTATTATTCTTAAGTCGTTTTTGTGTAAAAGTGTTTATCTTTAAGTAACTGGAACTATAAGACGGTTGTGTTGGACCTTATCGAACGCCTTATTGTAATCACTAAAACAAGCATAAAGTGGTTAGTTTACATCCATACATCTTTGCATGAGGACGTTAAATCCAAATAATGCCTTTCGTGTACCCATGGCATTTCTAAATCCAAATTGGGTTTCAGTGATGTCTTGTTCCACTTTTCTGAAAATTCTTAAGCGGATAATGTTTAAGAATATTTTTAGTGTGTGACTCATTTGACTAATTATTCGGTGGTCACGACATTCCCTTGCATTAGGTTTTTTTGGTAATATAATATATGTTGATTTGAGCTAATCTCTCGGAATAATATCCGTATTATATAGTATTATATAAGTCTACTAATACATTGATCTGATCTTGTGAAATTAATTTAATTATTTCAATTGGAATTATGTCATGCCCCGCAGTTTTATTACATTTTGCCAGATCAATTGCATGTCTTATTTTTACCTTAGTTATATTTGGACTTATATCATGTTCCTCGCAATCGTTCATGCTATCTGGTTTTGTCCTGTCATCTCCAAACAATTATTGGACGTATTCTCTCCATCTGTTTAGTTTGCCTTTGATATCAGATATTATATTACCATTCGTATCAACCAGGGTGTTACTATTGTCGGACTGTCTTATACCTGCTAATTCTTTAATTTTTGTTTTGTTTAATAATGGTATGTAATTGAGCTATAAAACTGTATTTGTACTTTACCTAAACCAACTGGAACTAAATTTGTAAGAAATTTTATTTTACTGTGATTTAAAACCTTGAATAATAAAAAAGGGACGAACGGACGATATATAAACACTTAAAATTATGCCCTAAGCCTAATCCTTAGCAGTGTCACATTGTAACAATGACTGTCTGGCACCTTCTGCCTCTCTATTCACTTCTGGCAATTTTGTTAAAGTGTTTCACTTTTGTGCCAAACTGCTATAAAAAAGGTCGATCAAGTGACGCTTTGTGGTTATAATGTTATTAGAAATTTCTTCCTTTATGAGCTTCCAACACTTTTCTTTTTGATTCAGATCTTGCGAATTGTCATGCTAGTCGAATACATTTATCTGGTTGTCAGCAAGAAATTTTTTTCTTGTGACAAGGCGCCAAGTCATACCTAAACATGAAACTTTTATTCAAAAACCACTCCTGAATCAGTAAGCGAACAGTTTTATAAATGCTTACATGCGCGTACGATTCCAAAAGACTGGAACAATGCAGTAATAGTCTTGTTACACAAAAAAGGCGATATTACTAAATTAGAAAATTATAGACCCATCAGCCTCTTGACACATAAGTACAAACTCTTTATGAAAATCTTAACAAAGAGGCTAACACCTAAACTTGATTTCTATCAGCCCAAAGAACAGGCAGGCTTCAGGGCAGGATATGGCACAAATGACCATTTGCATACCATAAAGATCTTAATAGAAAAGTGCATCGAGTACAACATACCACTGGTTCTTTCATTTGTCGATTACGAGAAGGCTTTTGATTCTGTAGAGTTTGAAACAATACTGAAAGCCCTAAATCAAAGCCGAATAGATTACAGGTACAGCCGAATAGATTATAGCTAATCAAAAACATCTACGAGAACGCTACATCAGGTATACGACTACATGAAGACACAGAAAAATTCAGCTTAGGTCGAGGAGTTAGACAAGGAGACAATATTTTACCAAAATTGTTCACGGCAGCTCTAGAGTCAATATTTAAGAGCACTCAATGGCAAGATATGGGCATCAATATAGATGGAGAAAGATTAAACCACGTAAGATTTGCAGATGATGTTGTATTAATCGCAGATAATTTACAAGATACAGTTTCTATGATGCATTTGCTTAAAAGTCTGTCTGAAAGAGCATGATTAAAGATAAACTTTGAGAAAACTAAACTTATAACAAATCTCGTAATGAGTGAAAATATAACTATTGACAATAATAACATACAACAAACAGACACTTACAAATATCTGGGACACGAAATCAAAATAAGCAGAGACAATCAAACACATGAAATACAGAGGCGAATAGGCCTAACTTGGACAGCATTTGGCAAATTAAGCCATATTCTAAAAAGTTCAATTCCCATGTGTCTCAAGCGAAAGGTTTATGACCAATGTGTTTTACCTGTACAAACTTATGGAGCGGAGACTTTAACACTCACGCAAAAATCTGCGAATAAACTCAGAGTTACGCAACGAGCCATGGAAAGTGCAATGCTGAACGTGAGCCTTCAAGACCACATAACAAACCAACAAATCAGGCAAAGATCAGGAGTTCAAGACGTCATCGAAAGAACCACGTCGCTTAAGTGGAACTGGGCAGAGCACTTAGCCAGAGCACAAGATGGACGGTGGACAAGACGTATTATGGAATGGAGGCCCAGACACTATAAAAGAAGCCGAGGACGACCACCGACTAGATGTACCGATGATATAAAACGTGTAGCAGGAAACTGGCTACACGCGGCCCAGTGTAGAGAACACTGGAAAGAACTGAGGCAGGCCTATGTCCAGCAGTGGACGCGATTGGCTGATTGATGATGATGACTCCTGAACCTGGGAAAGCATTTTTGTTTGCAGTACTCTCAAGTACTGAGTCTGCCGCATTGTTCCTTCGACAATGTGAAGTCTACCAGTTTTTTGACTGCTTATGATATACGACACCAAAATTATTAGGAGGTGCTTTACCGTCCTTACAATACAATACGCTTTACACTGTTCCCCAGGTATTCTCCTCACAAATTCAGCTCTATCCATAAGGATCTACAATCCTGAATAACTGATGCCACACTCCTGCATTATTTTCATTAAACTCTTTTTAGGTTCTTTTCTGTTTACCAAGACTACATATCGAATTTTTCTTTTACCTCATGGTGTTGTAATTTTTTTTCGACCACATTTTTGTTTGCTTCGTGGGATCAAATCCGAATTTTCGTCAATTTTTTTCTTTGTACGGTCCACAGTTGCCCTCGAAATTTCAGAAATTGATGCAATTTTTCTGTTGGAGTAACTAGTGTTTATTAATAAAAGTTTGTATTTCCGCTATTTACCATGGCGAGATGTCCTAGGGTTTTGCCATGATGTTCTGGTACCACTCATGTTCTTCTTCTTCTTCTTATGGTGCCTGTCCGTTCCGAACGTTGGCGATCATTCTAGCTATGATGATTTTGTTGGTTGCTATAGACGACTCATGTAATGAACATGTAATTTTTGAATATCACTAAAGAGCAATAGAAACCATTTATTACATATAACTAATATACATACGAGTTGCAAGCTAGGCTGGACAGTACTGATAAACAATGGCATCTGAATCACGTATTGCCACGCCCGCTGTAACAAGCACATTCATATATTATACAGCTTAATTATGTATCCTTTTTGTAAAAAAATTGAATTTTAGTAGGCGGCTCTAATAATTTGATCACCTACTGTAACTCCAAATATCTTGATGTACAATCAATAAGAAAGAAAAAGAAAAGCATTATCATCAATCAAGCTAAAGTGTAACATATTATGTGTATGATAAAGAAACAGCTATGTTAGGATAGTTATAAAATGTAGGAGAGACTGATAATTTGCATGTGGATGTACAATTCCAACGGCAGTACCGGCCTCATGCTGAATAAAATTGCAAGAGAAGTAATTAATAAAAGATCTAAATATTGGAAAGACTTAAAAGGAATGGAGCAATATTAATATCTGTTGGGAACTATAACCATAGAATAGTCAGTATGTAACAATATTATTTGCTTAGAGGACGGCTAAAAATGGGGGCTGAACAAACAGTGGACTTGGAGATAGGGTAAGCAAAAAATTGAAACGTTAGCGAATGGCTACTTGCGTTTTGGTTGAAAATCAAAGTCGTGGATAAGGATTCCTTTTTTGGGGGGACTGAGAAAACTTACTAGCAATACATACAGAAAGGACCTGGGCAAATACTAACCAAGAGGGTTTTTTCTTGATAAAAAATTTTTAAGGGTGAATATTTTTTTTAAAGAAATATTTTTCTAAACTCCTACTTTAAAGAGAAAAAATTATATATTTATTTTTATTTTAAATAAACAGATATTACAAATAATATTTTAATCTATCAACAAAACAAACTTTAAAACTATGGTTTTGTATCAAATGACAGAAAAAGATGTACTGGCTATCATATGTTGAAATTAACTATTAATTAATTATCAAAGGATAATTTTTTTAGAAGAAACTAACAAAACCACTCCCTTTGATGGCTAGTTATTTATAAAAAAAAGTTTATAACCTTACACTTGAAAAAAAATATTGTATTACAAACTTTACCTCTTGAGTAATCAGATACATGCAAATTACATGACCAGTCGGGTGGGTCTGTGAAGGCCAGTTTTTATTTTATACAGTACATTAGAAAATGTTAAAATATAACTTACATGATATGTACAATCTTTTTTATTTTATTTTAAAAAGATTTTAACCATTTTAAACGCAATGATAAAATAAACAATATCCTTAAGAAAATGCAAAAAAAAAAGTTAGCAAAAATGTATTTCTCTTACATTTAATAAACAAAATTCTAATCTTGATTTCAATTTTCATTGTAGTCTTTGCAAATGGGTTTAATATGCTCTAAGCATAGCCATTTCTGTCATTTCACACAAAATATCGTGTTTTACGATTTGGACAATAGGCAGGACAATCGTGTATTTGGCAGCGGGGGTGCTGGATCTGCATGTATTTTGCTTAAGTTTTGGAGGATATTTCTGATATCCTTTTATAAATAAGAATCTGTTTCTTTGCTCAGAAGGATGAGCCAATTGATTTCAAAAACAAAATTGGTCAAAAATGTTTTCTATTCGTGCAAGTTTGTCTATGGTTCTTCTTAATAAAATGGTCTATGGTCTTCGAAAGACCAAGACCAAGACCAAGACCGCCTAATTTTAGCAAGACCAAGACCAAGACTGACCATGCAAGATTTAAGCAAGAACAAGACTAAGTCTGCGAGACTCTTGCGTCTTACAGTTAGGAATAAGTGTCATTTTAGCTAGTATAGCAGTTTGGGTATATGCTTAAAGACTATATGAAACGCAAAGTAATATGTAATAAAAATTTAAAAAACTGGACTTCTACGCATTACAAACAATACCATCAACATATATACCAAATCAAAATATTTATTAAAAAAACGTTCGTTCCATTCCTTTTTTCTGTTCAGTGTCCACTCATTTATTTCTGGTATATTGCATTTTCTTCTGATCTCTTCACTCCTCATTCGATCCCTCAGTGTGTTTCCTGTAATTCTCCTCAGTAAACGCATCTCTGCTGTTTCTAGTAGTTGCTGAGTTTTGGAGGTATCCGGTCTTGTCTCTGAAGTGTATGTCATTATTGGTCTTATTGTTGCTTTGTAGATTCTTGATTTCACGTCGGTATTAATGTGGGGATTGCGCCATATCGAGTTATTAAGACAACCTGCTATTTTATTAGCCTTTTGTACTTGATTTTTCACTTCCTTCTCCACATCTCCGTAGCTAGACAGTGTAATTCCTAGGTAATTTGTCTCCATTACTTGCTCAATACTGATACCGTCGATTTCCAGTTTACATCTAATTGGTTCTTTACTGATTACAATTTTTTTAGTTTTCTGTGTAGAGATCACCATATTAAAGTCCTTTGCCCTTGTGTTGAATCTATGGGTTAGTCTTTGTAGATCGTCTTCATTGGATGCAATTAGGGCCGCATTATCTGCATAGCAGAGTATTCTGATTTCTTTGTTCTCCATTTTGTATCCTCTTCCTTTATTAATAGTATTGATGATTTCATCCATGATTAGATTGAATAGCGTTGGACTAAGCGAGTCTCCTTGTCTTATTCCATTGCCCATATCTATTGGATCTGTAAGCTGGTCATCTATTCTGACTTCCATATTGTTGTTCTGGTAAATGTTCTCTATTGTTTTTATAACATTTAGTGAAATTTCTCTATCGTAAAGAAGGTAAATTACATCTTTAAGCTTTACTTTATCGAACGCTTTCTTCAGGTCTATTAGACATATGAATGCTGGTCTGTTATACTCTAGTGCTTTCTCGGTAATCTGTTTTATGATGAATACTGCATCTGTGCACGATCTTCCTGTGCGAAAACCCTGCTGTTCATCCGCTAAGGTAATTCTCTGATTTATTTGGCCTTGCAATATTTTGGTTGTAAGCTTCAATGTGGTGTTTAATAAGTTGATACCTCTGTAGTTTTCAGGTTGTTTTTTATCTCCTTTTTTGTATAGTAGGATAAGCTCGCTTTTCTTCCACTCTTAAGGTATTTTATTATGTTTAATGATTTTGTTAATTAGTGCTGTTAGCTGTTCTGTTAATGCTTCTCCACCATATTTCAATAATTCATTTGGAATTCCATCTTTACCTGCAGCTTTTCTGTTCTTCAGTTTTTCTAAAGTTTGCTTTACTTCTTGTACGGTTATCTCGACTTCCTCGTTTGTAATGATTTGATTACAATGTAAAAATAAAATATTTTGTACATTCTTTCCGAGCAGACGACTTCTTCGCTCAGAAATTAATTGTCCAGATTTTAAGAATAGCGACCCTCTAATTATAAAATAATCTTTTTGCATTGCGACGCCGACAGTAATATCGTATCGAAACTTTTTAAAAATATGTAACCTTAGCTAATAAAAAATATAATACTTACTGTTAAGGTCACCTAATAATTCAATTTGTTTCTCATTATAATATGAGATGAGAATGAGATAGGAGGAATGTAAATAAACAAATCTTATCGACCTGACTAAACGTCATTTCTGCTGAGTGTGCGATGACCTCATTCGGTTAAACAAAATTTGCTGAAAGAGCGCTGGCTAATATTCAAATGTGACGAGACAAATTAATGGCTAAAAACAGATAATGTCGGCTGCCGTGTAAACAAAATACCAAAATATTTAGAACAACGCTATAACGATATATCTTAGGGTATTAAATAGTAACGAACATATTATAGTAACTAGTAGGAATTACTTTTTCGACATCGTGGGTTCAAACCCCACCCGGTGTCAGTTGATTAGACATTAATTAATTTGGTTGGTCTTTGTTATTGCTATGTTAATTCAAGCTTAAATGTACTTACTCTGTTACGTTACGTTACGTTACACATCACTAAAATAAGGCGTTAGTCCAATGTGCACTTAACTTGCCAGTATTGTAATTTTTATTAAAAAATACCGTTATGAATTTTCTAGTTGTTATTTTAATTTACAGGATACGATAATTTAGACCGGTATATTGGATATAACTTGGAAGATGCCAAAGCCCTTCTTCGAGATCTTGCTGTATTCCAATCAACAGTCGTCGCTTTAAAAATTAAACAGCCGGATGTATTCAACAAAGAAGTTAAACCATTTTGTAACAATAATTTGGCTACTCCTGAGGATGATCCATTTAGAAAAATGATATTAGTTATTGACGAAATTCTTGAAGAATCCCCAGAATTTAGACAATTTATTCCAAAGGTAAATTAATTAGTCATTTTTCATAATGCCCGGGCTATATAAAAAATGTCCAATACTGTCGGTCAATATAATAAATACTTCAATTCATCACATTGCCCGGGCATTATGTATAATGCTTGGCATCTACTAGACAGGATGATTAAAACTACTTTTATTTTTTATTAAATATGAAATATATTTATTTTGATACAATCAAGTATGTAGTAAGAACTAAAATATTTCTTATATATTAATGAAAACAGTCTTGCAGTCTTCTGTGAAATGGCACATGAGTACATTTAATGAATAAGTATACATAAAAAATATATGTAGTAACGGTAATTGAGGAAACCAAAAAAGAATTCTGTGTTTTTATTTGCATTTTTTTCTAATGACCGAAATCGATGGTAACACACAAAGCGGCCAGTGAGAAATTAAATCGTTTTTCTTCTAAATCAAACTCAATTTTAAATAAAAATACACTTACCACCTTTGCGTGCTACATCTTCGAAATTTATTTTATATGAATGATTTACAATACATAACTATTTGTTGAAACATGTTCCACTATGGTGACACTTGGAGTTACATATTTTTTTTTCTTTACGATACTTACACTTATCGGATTTACACCCACCTTTACAACCGCACCTACTGTATCCTTGTCCCCCACAGTTAGAAGATTTTCTTGCGCATTCTCTAAGAGATATCTCAGTGTCTGGAATCTCTTCTATGGAGATAAACTTTTCTTTACAAACGGTAAACTGGTTTCTTGAATATAACTGATTTAGTATGACATATTTTGTGCCTAGTTTGTAAAGCTTTTTTTTTCAGTTATCTCTGTCACGATAGCTAGTAGATTTCTTTGATCACTACGAGCTCGGTCCACATCTGGCACTCGTATCCTAACTGTGTTACCTAGTTTAGCCGATGGATATTTCGAATTGGAAAATTTTAACATCTTCTCGGCTTGTTGTTCTAGATTCGTCAAAGACAATTTTCGTTTCTTCCGTACATCGTTTATTCTAAAATCTATATTGGAATCCAGATTTTCATTATTTTGTAAATTAACTACAATAGCCGTTTCTACCGCATTTGTTAAAAATTCTGGAACTTAACTAGACTCACGAGATGAATTTTCATCAATTAAAATTGCTCCAATTTTTTGAACGTCCAGGGTGTAGCCAGATGACATGGAACTTGATTCGTGCAACATTATTGAAGAGTCCACATTTATATTATTATTTTGTATTATATCCGGTTCTGTAGATAGCCCAGCCTCTTGATTTTTGAACAGGACCTCTCAGTCTTCCTCCAAATTAACATCAGTCAGAACTTCTTAGGGTAGAGAGCTTTTTAAACCAACTTTCAACTTTGTGCCGAACATGGCTTCATATGGACTACAACCTATACCAGTGTGATAAGCTCTATTTTTCATTATTTAAACAAAACGTAAGCCTTCAGCCCATTTGTTTGTATTGTTGTCTTCTAACCTCGAACTAAGCATATTCTCTACGTCTTGATTGACCCTTTTTATAGATTCTTGACTCTGACTTACTGAGAATGCCTGGGTTTGCCATGTACCATTTTTAACTCGGGCCACATGGTACACAGCTCGTTGATAATATGGTTAGCGAATTCTCTGCCATTATCACTATGAAAATATCCAAAAGTACATGCGATACTTCTTCTGCTCTTTTACTTGTAAGAGGTCGAAGTTGGACAAATTTGGTAAGATGGTCTTGATAAACAAGCACAAATTTATAACAACCATTGGCTTGTGACTGCATATCGATTAAATCGACTTGGCATCTTGAATTCATTTCCTTGCTCAATATTAGTTTCACCACCAAGCCTTTCTTTGAAACATTATGTTTTTTATGACAGGTCATGCATAAATTTAAATAGATAACAATCATCTCCCTTGTAATATTTTTAAATTTAGAATGTACTTCCTTCTCCATTCGGTTTCTACCACCATGTCCGATAGTAATATGAAGATCGCGCAATGTATCAAATATTTCTTCTGTATGGACGTAGTATTTAATTACGTTATCTTCTTTCACAGGAACAATCAATTTTTCTACTTCTCTAATCGTCATAACGTCGAATCTTCGTAAGCGCTGATAATCACTCGGCGTTTTATTTGTCTGTTTACTTTTAGAGTTTTTTACCTTGTGTATCATTTCCATGTAAGTAGGCTGTTTTTGTGAAAATTTGTGAATTTTGACTTTTTGCTGAAATTAATTCAGTTAACCGATTGTTAAATCGATTTTTCATATCACTTAATGGTTCTTCTTTTTCCATAGTTCACTATGCAATACTTTATAAACAAAGAGTTAACAAACGTGGTATATCAGATGGTGGTATTATTGACTATTGATTTAAATATCGAGTGGTGATTCTTGAGGATGCAGTCAGTCTATTTGGCCCACAAGACAAAAAAACTCTTTGACTTACTGTCAAGCTTTCGAATTAATTCTAATTCTTTTTCAAGACATCTGTTAACAAAGAAATATAAAAATTATCTAGTTATAATTGTTAATTGTTTTACTAGTAGTGAGATTACAGATTAAGTTTAACTTCGATGTATGTATGTACACATACATTAGAATTAAAAAAAAAATTGCAAAATAACTATATTATCATTATATATGTCATTGTCATGTTGATTTGATTAATGTACATATATGAATGAATACACAGTTATTTTATATGGAAAGCACAACTAGTAACAATAGTTTGTTTTTATTATTATTAATTTGATTTTCAATAAAGAATATTAAATAATAAAATTAGTCCAGTCAGTTGGGCTTAAGCATATATGGTTTTTTTTTACAAGGTTGGGATGTCGATAGAAAATGAGATTATGATGTTATGCTAATTGATTATTGATATGATAATATGTAACAATAAATGTTACTTAATTTGTCAATATCTGATTTTCTATTTATACATATTTTATTTTTCTGTATATGTGTCATTTCTAAAAATAACCGCTTCTGTTAATTTTTTTGCCTCTCTAGAATTAAAGCTTATGAAAAATTAAATTTGTGATTTAGATTGATAGAGTGGTCCGCTAATGCATAAACCTGTTATTTGTTTGTTTTTACATCGCTTTAGTGAGAAATAATTCTGCTGTGTAATGTTCGAGAAGTTTCTCCTATATAAACCTTATCACAGTCTGAGCAAGGTATGTGATAAACTACTTTAGAACATTCCTTGGTTGTTATAGGATCTTTAGTTTTAGTGTATAAATGTGCTATAGTTTTAACATTTTTAGTGGCAATTTATATGTTTTCTAATCCATTAAATGATTTCAGAAGTTTTGGTGTTAAGAATGGAATATAAGGTAAAGATCCAAAAGTTTGTGGTGCTATTGGTATTAAAGTGTTAACTGTCATGCTATTGTCTATCTTCTTGGTTTGCCGTTTTTACTGTGATTTGTTTTTTATTGTTGGTATTGCCGATCGATATGATGGAGGCTGGAGAGTTTGCAATACTAAAAATTAATTTATTAAGGAGGTCTACAGGATAAGAGTTTTCCAGTAGTATGTTTTTTAGCCTCTTTAAATTTTGTTCTCTATATGTTGGATGAGTTTTTCTAGTCACACTGCTTTTTGGTCCCAAAATTAAGTTTATTTTCATTTTTGTGGGATGACTTTTTAATTACAATTCACTGCAGAAAGAGAACAAAATAACAGTCTCCCTTTTTTAGATATGATTATCCATCGCACACATGACAATAGTCTTAAAACAGAATATATATACGATCTGCAGTTCACTCTGATAGTTATGGTGATATCGGTCAAAAGTTGGAAAATAAAAGAAGGGATACTTCTGCATACTTCTGCATACTTCGTGCCTCATTGATGACGTTTTGTATATGAATCCCTAGACATCATCAGGTCACCTAAAATCTATAGAGAAAGTTGCAAAAGATTTACCCCACTATCTTACTATCTAGATATATCTTCTTCTTTGTGTATAACGTGCTTGTTTTCAAGCGTTGGCTTTCATTATTAAAAATCTAATGAAATGTTTCTCGGTCGGCAGCTATTATAGATAAAATAATTTCTCGACCGTTCAACCTAACCATTATATTTAGATTTTAATGTTACGTACTCAGGACAGTTGTTTTTTTCTGACCCAGCGTTTTAGACTTAATAAAAACGTACCATAATCAAACAGCAAGCATTAGAATAGATATTTTGGCAAATTTCAACATATCGTACCGATATATAAAAATAATTTACTAAAAAAAGCTGATAAAAGCTAAAATATTAGACAATAATAGACTCTGAAAATTAGACGAACAAGCTGAATTTTGCTGAGAATCTCAATTTAGGACCTTAAAAAGTATGCAAAGTTTCCGTTTTTTCTTCCTACGGAGAGGAGCTATAGAAGGAATCCGGATGGTAAAAGTGGTAAACCATTTGTATGACAATCTTAGCAAAATTTAACTTGTTCGTACGATTTTTAAAAGTTCACTGGCATTTTCGTCTCTGACGACTGGAGTATAAACAAAACAACAAAATTTTGGAAGAAATAGAACAATTGAAGGTTAATTAGGAGCTAAAATGGATAAACCTTACAACTGTATCCTCTACACTCTACAGGAATAAGCGAAGAAGAATATGAAGAATATAGTAACTGGTAACTTCAATTTATTTGCCAGCCAATTCAATAAAACAAATCTTCATCTCTGTTAAAATAGTAAATAGTACGTTAAAATAAACAATTTTCAATGTCAGCAAGAACACATGCTATAGCATTAACTAACCATAAAAAGATAATACAAATCTCAACCGCTGCAAAAATAGAATGCATGTAAATACTACGATGTTATAAATTTTACGATGCAAGTAATACATAACAGATAACGAATAATTTGTAAATATTAGACAGATCATGATCCATAAACAAATAGTTTTAAAGTACACTGCGCGTATTCTAAAGTAAATAACAAATATGACAATGAAATAAGCAACAACTTTTGCTTTTTTATATTCATCTTTTACAGCCTATTTTACAAGATTTTAGTTCACAGTACGATTCGGAAAAACTAAACGAGATCTTCTTAATTAGACAAAAAGTTCGACAGGAATAATATATTATACTGCGGCCATTTTCAGTAATATATACTCTGAAAACAGCTTTAGAGAAGCCTGAGTGTGTAGCTGGATTTAACAGGCTTTCTTTTTGGTATCTAACAGCTCTCTTATTTCGTGTGACCACCACACCGTATCTTTATTTTGAACATTTTCCTTATACCCTACGGCCCCTTGTGTTGCATTACGTGTACAGTATTTTATTCTAAAGTATAATTCCTGCATAATTTTTTTATTTGTGATAATATTTTGAAATTTTGTAGCCAATCTGAGTTTGTGCAAAAATTAGGGTGATTTATTCTTTAGATTTTCCAAATTATATTTGTTTACGCCTTATATTTTTGGAAATTTGATTGTAAATATTGATGGTCGCTATTATTTTGCTGGAATTTAACTAACATCTTTTCAATGGTTAGGTGCTGATCCGATACACACTCCGCTTCTCAATACACACTTAGGTCTAAATCTTGTAGATTTTATTGTTAGCGTGTGATGACATAATAACTAATTGACCTTAGCCCTCTTATCAGCTATGTACATGTATATTTATAAATGTTAATAAGAGTATATAATCCATTTGTCAAATTTAACGAAAAGCTCACATAAGCCAACAAATCGCATACAGTTTTTATTTTAAATAGCATCTGCACACGTTTCAATAATCTGACTGCTATCCCATTTTCCCTCTAGAACAATAAGGTCCTTAATCTCTAAGAGTAAATATATCCTTGTTCTTCTTAATTCCTTCTAATACATTCAGTAGATTATCGTAAAATGCTTTCTTTGCTCTATGTATCTTTGTTGGGGGCATAAGCTCCTAAGATGTTTTGGATATTTTTCATCAGATTTCTAACAAATTGTGCGTTTATTTTTATTTATAAAAAATATAGACCACGTTTACTAACTCTAAGGCCATTTCCGTACTATTTTCTGCGAATGGTAGATAACCTAACGTGAACGCCAGGACATAACTGTAACTGATATAATTTTAATATGGCCCTGTCTTTTAAATATTTGACAAAGTAAGACATGAAAAATTATTCCAAATTCTAAAGACAACAAACATAGGGACCATTTGGCCTATATGACATAGCCAAATGGCCATTTAAAAGCCATTTTTGAAGAAGCATTACTATCTCAAAGTAAAGGACTAATAATTAGCGGAAGATATATTAACACCATAAGATATGCAGATGACACCGTGCTTATGGCAATCTCTGCTGAACATCTCCAATTACTGCTAAACAAAACAAACAGTTTCTGTGAAAAATATGGACTAAAAATGAATATAAAAAAGACCAAATACACGATAATAACAAAGAAAACAAATATAAAAACAAACATACATTCGGGAAATGTACCGATAGAAAGGGTTGATAAATAAAAATACCTAGGAACCTGGATTGCAGACAATAATGATGAAACAACCGAAATAAGAGCTAGGATAGAAATTGCAAGCAATGTCTTTATACAAATAAAAACAATTCTCTGCAACAAATATCTTAGATTACAACTGAGAGTAAGAGCACTGAGATGCTACTTGTTTTCGATACTGCAATATGGACTTGAAAGCTGGACATTGAAGCAAGAACACATAAATAAGTTAGAGTCCTTTGAAATGTGGGAGGATGCTTAGAATAGCATGGACACAGAAGAAAACTAACACGGAAGTATTGTGAGAAATGGACAAAGAATGTGAAATAATGAACACAATAAAAATAAAAAAGTTATAATATCTGGGACACGTAATGAGGGGACAGCGATATAAACTGCTAAGACGAATCTTCTACTTCTTGTGCCGTCTTCTAACGAAGGTTAACGATCACTTCTTTAAACGCTTCTCGATCTTTTGCAACGTGAAATATCTGTTCAACACTGAGGTTAGTCCAATCTCTGATATTCCTCAGCCAAGATTTCTTCTTTCTTCCCAACCTTTTCTTCCCTCTACTCTACCTTGCATGATGACTTGTAGTTGAGAGTATTTATCGTTTCGGAGTATGTGGCCCAGATATGGTGTTTTTCTTATTTTTATCGTGTTCATAAGCTTCTGCCATGACCAACTCGTCTTAACACTTCCTCATTTGAGACTTTTGCAGTCCAAGGAATCTTCAAAATACGCCTATATATACGCTAAGACTAATAATATAGTGAAATATAAGAGAAGTAAATAGTATAGGAAGAAAGAGAGTATCATGGTTGAAGAATTTAAGGGGCTGGTTTAAATGAAGTTCTATAGAACTCTTTAGAGCAGCCGTAGATAAAGTAAAGATAGTGATGATGATATCCAACCTCCAATTGTGAGACGGCACTTGAAGTCTGATATGATCTGATAGCTCAGCCAGTTAGTCTGCTAGTCAGACAAAACATACTTTAAAAAACGCTGAATATTTGGACTACATATTGTTGAGTGTTAGTACCATTTTGTAACAACGGCAAATTTTTTTGAATAAAAATTCCTTAGTGGAATAATATGTACACAGCTAGATACTAGATGACTAGATGAGACAATAATACATAAAGTTGATCGCTAGATCATAACCTGTTATATTTTAAACAATTTTAAAAACAAAAATTTTAATAGATATGTAATCTTTAAGAGTAAATTATTTTTGTTTTTAGGTGAACGTAGCTTGGGAAAAACAGGAACACAAAACTGAAGTGAGAGAACCATTTGCAACGATCGTGCACCGTGACCTTTGGGTCAACAATATAATGATTAAATACGAAAATGGAAAACCACCAAAGAACAAGTTTATTGACTTTCAACTGTACGATTACGGTTCCCCTGCTTCGGATGTTCTTAACTTTATATTTACTAGTGTCCAGACGAATGTTTCTAGAAACTATTTTGATGATTTGATACAGCATTACCATACAGAATTTGTGTCCAACCTAAAACGTTTTAGATGTGATACTGAACCGTTCAATTATACAAATTTTCTAAGAGAGTTGAAGATGGAATCGGAAATAATTTTGGGATGGACTACTGGTTTTGTTACGCTTGTGGTATTTGGTAAAAAGAATGAAAGTTTCATGGACGATCCCAACCCAGATTTTGAAGATCCCAAATTTAGGCAAAAAGTTAGGGATGGATTGATGCCGGAAGCCCTAGAGAGGTTCTTTTTTATATTACGTCAGTACCATAGATGTAACTGGATATAATCGACAAGACCAATGGTTAAATTTTATTAACGCAATTTTTTTGTGGTAATTATTTAATAGAATTGTTATGTTTAATATAACATAAAAAGCCAATAGTATTATTTTTATAAAATCCCTTAGTAAAGTTGACATGATTTTCTGAAACATCAGCTTCTTCTGAATAATCATCACTTTTGAGTTTTCAATGCGATCAAATTAGAAATCACTTTCTAATTTGATCTTCCAATATTTATTTCTCTTTTATAGGACAATACATGCCAACCACATATGAAAATTTTTATAAACGGTGATTCTTTTAGAGGTAGTTTTTTTTTTTCAAAAAGAAAATATATATATTTAGGGATTCTACAGTGTACACTGCCTTTCCTCGCTTAACAGTTTCTATCTGTCTGTGTTGTCCCATTCTCCATCGTTTGGGCCTCTCTTACTCATGGCGACGTCTACTTTGTTTCTCCAGGATCTTCGTGATCGTCCTCTTTTCCTCCTTCCTAAGGGGCTCCATTCATGTGCTTGAGTCTACAATAACATGATCTATCCCCAAGGGGGATAGATCATGTTATTGTAGACTCAAGACACCAATCGAATATAATAAACGTCCGTACCAGAAGAGGGGCAAATGCGGATTCTGATCACTACCTGGTCGAAAGTAGAATAAGGGCTAAAATTTCAAACATCAAAAAGGAAAGAGGCTCTAAGCAAGAACGATACAATATAGAAGGACTCAAAGAAACAAACAAAAATAGAGAGTACAAAGAAAATATAAGCATCAAACTAAAAAACAGACCAAAACATGAAAACCTAAATGAGGAGTGGGAAAAGTGCAGAGAAATCACAAAAGAAACAGCTAAATAGGTGTTGGGCATGGAAGGTAAAGAAAGAAGAACAAGAACGAATCACTGGTTTGACGAAGAATGTCAAACTATAACAGAAAGAAAAAACAGAGCATATCTACAGTTGCAACAGAGGCACAGAACCCGACAAGCAGAGGAAGAATATAAACAACTACGTAAAGAAGAAAAGAAAATTCACCGAAGAAAGAAGAGAGAATATATCAACAAACAACTTCAAGAACTACAAGAATTAAGTAAATCAACAGAGACAAGAAAATTTTACCAGAAACTCAACAAAAGCAGAAAAGAGTTCAAACCGAGAACAACGATGTGTAAAGATAAGGAGGGTAATATATTGACAGAACAGCAAGAGATACTTAGAAGATGAACAGAACATTTTAAGGAAAAGCTTGGGGTGAATAGGACGGAGATGAACCCTGATATACCATTAGACCAAGCAGACAACAGAGAAAAGAGTCCACCAACAATAGCAGAGATTAGAACAGCAGTATACAAATTAAAGAACAATAAATCACCAGGATCGGATCAAATATCATCGGAGCTACTGAAAGAAGGAGGAGACGCATTACTTAAAGCCACACATGAGCTGATAAGAAAGATATGGTTGAATAAACAGTTACCAAAGGAATGGAATAGCGGCATTATTGTACCACTACATAAAAAAGGAAACCAGTTAGAATGTGAAAACTACCGTGGAATCACGCTGTTGAATGCGGCATACAAAATAATGTCCAACGTAATGTATGAAAGACTTAGACCATATGCTGAAAAAATAGTTTGCAAATACCAATGTGGCTTCTGTAGACAGAAGTCAACAATAGACCAGATATTTGTTATATAGAATATAACATCGACACACATCATCTCTTCATAGACTTTGAAAGCGCATATGACAATATAAACCGAGAATTCCTAACAAAAGCAATGAAAGAATTTAATATACCAACACAGCTAATAGAATTGATAAAAGAAACACTAAAAGTAGAAAGTAAAATCCGGATACAAAACGAATTAACGGAAACAATAGATGTGAAGAAGGGACTACGCCAGGGAGACGCTCTATCATGCATATTATTCAACATTATACTTGAAAAAATAATAAGAGACACAACAGTTAATACCCGAGGAACGATAATTAATAAAAGCGTGCAAGTACTAGCATTTGCAGATGATGTTGACATAATCGCAAGATCAAGAAGAGAAATGATAGAGGCATTCACTCAAATAGAACGAGCTGCAAAAAATAGTGGTCTTAAAATCAATCAGACAAAAACAAAATATATGCCTGCAAATAAAAACGCACAAATAAAGCAGCTGCCAAATTTAACAATAGGAGAATACAACATTGAGGCGGTAAAAAACTTTACATACTTAGGATCCCTAGTTACGTCTGATAACAACGTTGCAGAGGAAGTGAAGAGGAGAATATTTATTGCCAATAAATGTTACCATGGCTTAATTAGGCAACTAAGATCAGATAACGTCTCCAGAAAAACAAAATGCCAAATATACAAAACCTTAATAAGACCGGTACTCACATACGGTTCAGAAACCTGGACACTCTCTAAAAGGGAGGAAACGTTATTGGCCACCTTTGAAAGAAAAATCTTGCGACACATATATAAGGGCACAAAGGAAAACGGGATTTGGCGGAGAAGGTATAACTTTGAACTATACAACATATACCATGATCCGGATATCATAACATTCATTAAAATAGGAAGGCTACGTTGGATTGGACATGTGAAAAGAATGGAAGAAGGCGAAATACCAAACAAAATATTCAAACAAGTGCCAGTAGGAAAAAGAACAAGAGGAAGACCGAAGCTGAGATACGTAGAACAAATAGAAAATGATATAACAACATTAAAAATTAAAAACTGGAAAAAAAAGCACGAAACAGGTCAGAATGGAGAAGAATCCTTGAACAGGCCAAGACCCAGAAAGGGTTGTCGAGCCAGTGATGATGATGAAGGGGCTCTATTCGGTTAATCTCTTTATCCATCTGCTGTCGCTAGTTCTTCTTACAATTCCATACCACTTTAGTCTTTTTTGTTCTATATATGTTAATATGTCTATTTTTATTGATGTACTTTGCTTTATTTCGTCACTACTTCTCCTATACATTCTTGTTACTCTGCAGCATCTTTGTAGTCATTCCATATCTGTTCAAGCGTAAAATAAATTTTCACCGAATCATTCTCTCAGTAAAGCCATGCTTTCACGGGCAGTATGGCAGTGGCGCCATCTTGTTAGTAAAAAATGTCGTTGAGATCACGAGCTTCAACTTTAGGCACCAAATAGTCCGTTATCATGACACGGTAACGGTCTCCAATCACAGTAACATTCTGGCCAGCCTCTGTTTTAAAGAAATGTGGACCGACTATTCCATCGGCGCATAAACCACACCAAATAGTTGTTTTTCTGGATGTTGTAACTTGAGCAAACTATGTACTTAAGAACACAAACAATCTAGGTCTTTCTCCTCATGTCGGAGAGTTTGTTTAAGGTTCTTTCAAAAACCATATAGAAGTTGTTTGTATTATCTTTAAAATTAAAATAAATTGGGCGCCATTCCTTAATAGTTTATCTTCATAAGGAAACGAGCTCAGACAAAGAAATAAAATGAAAAATTTAAAACAAAGTTTTCCTTTATTATTTTGTAAGGAACAAAAGGTTATTAAACGATTCTACGTTAAAAAGTCACGTCATCTCAGAAAAGATATACACGAGTCTGTGTTTACGGTATTAAATTACAAATGAGATAAATTACAAAGTGCTAATCCGAAACTAAAATTAAAATCACATTGTAATAAAACAAACATTTTATATCTTGAAATTAGATTCTAAATGAAAAATATATGAAAATAAAATTATACTTTATCTCAAATTTCGAAGGTCGTTCACATAAAAAATACTGTTATACATTAGGTAGAAAGTAGATTTTTATTGTAAATAAAAGATCAATATTAAATCACTTCACTGGTATTAACTTTCTAGGTAATCTTCACTGTTCATTAAAAAAAATATAAAATGGGTACAACCTGAATTATCCAAAATGATTGTGTGGCGTGTAGAAAGGATATCATTTTTTTACCCTCTAGGTAATCGGGCTGGCAAAAACGTTGAATCTATTACAGCAGGAACATATTATCTACCATAAAAATATATAGGATTGGTCAGCTAAGCAAACGGGATATTCTTCGATTGTTTGTTTCATTTGTTGTATCGTTCATATCATAAATTCATACCTGTTCAGGTAACCTTAGGCTAATAAACATAGTTCTATCAACTATTAGGGCTTCCAGTAAGGGTCTAAATTAAATATTTATTTAAAAATATATAAGAGAAAAGCAATTTTTCGGCTTACCTCGCCAAGAGACCACTCAAATAAAATTAGAAAATTACGTCCTGTCTATTAGACGTTCAAAGAGAGAAAGGGGTGAGGAATTTACGAACGCTTCAATTTTGTGGCAATGGTCTGAGGTATGAGGAACTAAAAATGCAATCGGCGGATACATGGCGTGAGCAACATTGATTTGAATATTTACTAAGAATTATAATATTACTATATACTATAATATACTATAATGATAATAAAAATTTTCGAAATTATGATTATTGTATTGTGAGTGTAAACTGTTACTTATCAATTTTGTTTGAAATTTTTTAATTGGAAAATAATTATGAGGAATTTAAGAGAATTGTGTTTTTTTTTATGATAAGTCTTTTTTTACGAACGTGTTAACTTCTAACTCAAAAGCTTGTCAAAATATGAATACAAATATAAATAACTTCTTATTTATTTATTATCATATTTATCATTTATTGACATTGTTGATTTTACAGAGTCCTTCTGCATCACAGAATACACCTACCCCTTCAGAGACAACACCCCTCTGAAGGAGATATTATTAGAAAGGGGCTAAAAAATAAGAAATAAACTTAACAATGAGGGATTCTTTTTAATAAAGCGGCTGATGTTTTGTCAACTTTAACAAATGCTTTGGACAATGAAGAGCAACAATAAACTGTGAAGACTCTTCCTGCAAAGTCAAATTTAAAAATATTTGCAGATTTTGTGGAGAGTGAGTTAGAGTTTTTGGTGTTTGATAAAGAGACATTATTAGAAACAAAAGGAAAAAATAACAAACAATATTTGGGATGCCAGAAAAATATGTTTAAAAAATGAAAATTCATAAACGTGTATATTTTATTTTATTTAAATTTCAAGTTACTCATTTATTAATATATATTTTTTACATGTTACATCTCTGTATGGCAGCATTTTGCCAATCAACTGAACTACGATTACTCTTGAAATAGTATTTAAATTCATTTCTTACATTATGAGCTTTAGCTGTCAAACGATTACCTGCTTGATTACTTAATCTATTTGAAAACACAACCTGTGATTCATCTTGTTCAGTATCTATACAGCCTTTGCTGTACAATTTTAGACATAGGCCTCCTCTTCCTTCTTCCACGTCTCTCTATTGTAGGTAATTTGCATCCACTTCGGGCCTGTGTGTTTCTTTAAGTCATCTGAGCATCTCATTTGTGGCCTTTCTCTTTTTTGTTTGTAACTATATGGTCTCCAGTGTAAAATCATCTTATTCCATCTGTCGTCTTTCTGTCTTATGGTATGTCCAGCGAACTACCACTTAAACTTTGCTATCTGTGTTGATACATCGGTCACTTTTGTTTTGTTGCGGATCCAAGTATTTCTTTTCTTGTCTGATAGTCTGATGTTCAGCATTTGCCTTTCCATGGCTCTTTGGGTCTTCGCTATTATTTCAATGTTTTCCTTTGTAAACGTCCAAGTTTGAGAACAGTAGGTAAGAATAGGAAGTATACTTGGTTGAAGACTCTTGTTTTTAAATATTTTGGGTATTTTCTATTTTTTACTATAGGAAAGTTTTTGAAGGATACCCAAACCAACCGTATCCTTCTCTTTATTTCTCCGGTCTAATTTTCTTTATTTAAGCTTACTAGTTGCCCCAAATATATATAATTCTTTTATTTGTTCTATAGTTGTTTGTGCAATTGTATTATTAATTATTCTGGTTGGTTGGTCATAATTCTCGTTTTATTATAATTCATTTGTAGACCTATTTTTATTGATTCGCTATTTAATTAATTCATCATATTTTGTAATTCGTCCCTTATGTCTGTTATTAATGCAATGTCGTCTGAATATCTCACGTGATTCAAGTATTTGCTAATAATGTTAATATCCCGTTTTTCCCGTTGTAATTTTCTCATAACGTCTTACAAAGCTTAATTGAATAGTTTGGGTGATATAGTGTCACCCTGTCTGACTCCTCGCCGTATCTTCATAGGCTCCGTTTGTTTAATTATTTTAACGGATGTTGTTGCTTGATATATATTGAAAATAAGTCCATATATCTACAGTCTATTCTCCCATTTTGTAAAGAGTACTTTACTGCTCAATGTTCCACATTATCGAATTTCACCTTCTACATAAATGCTTTAAAATTTTCTGAATGAATAAAGTATGCAACGCAAAGCAAGCCAAATTTATTGGAATAGGCAATACTCTAAACCTGTCAGCTAAAATTCCAAATGAGCTTTCAATCATTTGACGGGCTCTAGAGAGTCGATAATTGAATATTTTTTCAGATTCTGACAATCCTCTCCAGGATAAGGTTTCATAATTCGACTAGTTAACAGAAATGCATTATCTGTGATTAACACAAATAGTATTTTTGATGTACGACTGGGAAAAGCCTGATTTGGGCGCAAATTTAAAGAGTTATTTTCTAGTCCTTCACACAGGTTACTTTCTCGGAGAACACCACCATCACTTATGTGTCCATTTATTCCTACAATATAGTAAGTGAATTTACAAGCTGAATCACACATGGCTAATAGAACTATTGAGTGATTTCCTATATAATTGTAATAATATGAACCAGCAGATATTGAAGGTTTAAACATTATATGTTTCCCATATACGCACCAATACAGTTGGGAAACTGCGACATTTCTTGAAACCGTTTAGCAACATTTAACCATTCTCTACAAAACGTTGGAGTCAAAAAATAACATTAGTTAGTTTTTATAATTTTATCTCGTGCATATTTACCTTCAAATATATTTATTTTAGACTGGTATATATAGCTTCACAAACTTCAGGTACAAACCTAGAATTGCTACTTTCATGTAAACGAGTTGAATACATTAATGATCTAAACGTTTGCTTAGTTGCCAAGCATCTTAATGTAGTTTCCAACCTAAACAAAAAACAAGGCATCAAATTTATACATCTACCTAAATACAATATATATACAAACCTGCATATTGCTGAAATACTTTCTCTAAATTGCGTATCTTGTTTTTTTATCTTATTCTCAACTAGTCCTAACAATTTCTTAAACACAGTATTATTCATTCGTAAAAAGATCTTATATGGCAAAGAGTTTTCTACTTTATTTAACATATTTACATATTTAATATTTCTTTGCCCAACCCTCTTCTCTCGATCCATTTTTTTCTCCATATACGCTTGTTTTAAGAAAAGTTTTTTTTTTTTTCTTAATTGCTAGCATCATTATTACAATTAAAGCTACTGCACATAATTTTAGCTTTTTTTATCATCATTATTTACCTGTTTGTTTTTTTTACACTAATCATAAAACTATAAAACAAACTTCAGATAGGTTAGGCTGCCAATACAAAAGTGGTAGAGCGCATGCCTAAAGGCTAATTAAAAATTAGATAGTTGGAAACACAAACATACATTTTTCATATTAAATCGACTATTTTTAGCACTGAAATCAGTACTAAAATTAGCATAATGGCAAGCGGATCTAAGACTCTTTTTACCTGCAGCTTGGACTAAAAGAGAGGGAACTCATATCAGATATATCAATAAAACTGTCAAATTACAACAAATCAGTTAAATGATAGATATAAACAATTTTAATATGGTTTGATTGAAACACGTTGACAAGGCAGTAGACTAACTCGAATAGAAAACTAGCAACTAATGATATACATACTTTCTAAACCTAAAAAAATGACAAACGTGAAAAGTAATATTTTGTCAGAGTATAAAATTATATATCAGTATTTGAAATAACAAATGAAAAGATTGATATAAGAAGGAAAAATTTTACAAACAATTGTTAAAATGTAAAATAATATAAAGATAGACGAGATAAACGTCTTTATCTTGTTCACAGATTGGGTCTTAAGGCTTGTTTCGGCTCAATTGCTGATTTTTTCCGGGGTAGTCATATGCAGGGTCTTCCTCTTGGATGATATTTTGTTGTTATTTTTGGTATGCGGTTTTCACTCATGCGGCCTTAAAACACCTGCTAGTTTCAAGAAGAGTGAAAATGAAATATGGATTGAAGACACATTGAGAGAAGAACAAAATCACATAGTGAGAAAATCAATCCGATCAGGATCAGGTTAAGAGCAAAAGACAAATGTAAATACCAAAGAATAGTTGAACAAGACTTGAATAGGATCAATCGAAAGATGCGATTAATATTGAGAGAAATAAAAGAAGAGTTAGAAATAGAGGAATATGTAAATAACTTGTACAGACATTATCAAAAGATTAAGAGAGAAAGTATAGATTATGACCATTTAACCATCCTACACTCATCACCAAGCCCTTTGCGTCCACTACTAAACATAGGCCTCTCCCATTTGTGTCCTTTCTGCTCTATCTTGAGCATATCTAGCAAATCAAGATAGAGCATTCTACTTTACCGATATAGAAATGCGAAGCGCCAAATACTGTGTAAGGAGTGATGGATCTAGAAAGAAAACATTCTGGATTACTAAATATGAAAAAGATAATATTCAGATAATATTTTAATAGGTTTATTTTTGTGCGTGTAAAGTTTAAAAGCATTGCATTATTTTTTTAAATTGGCACTTAACGTGTTAAATCTAGTTTACCTAAATATATGTATTTTTCATACAATTTTATGAGAGTCGAATGTTTACATAAATTTCCCCACTTTCGAGAGCTCGTCATGATGTTTAATTTAGGTCATCGCGTCTGATCAGGTGTGATATGATGTACTTATGTAGTCCTCATTATTGAAGTGGTTCGGTCACGTTTGTACATAAATTGTCAATTACTCAAAGTAAAGCTAAAAAGTCGTTTACGGTAAGTGTTATAAATATTCATTGCTTGCGCCTAAAAGTATACAACCAATCTTACATATCGTAGTGTATATTTTTTGTCTGTATTTGTCATTTTATTAAACTAGAGTTAACTTTACCACAAGGTTACATCAACATGGTGCTAATAATAGTATTCACAGTATTAGTCCAGTCACATTACATAATATTTCAGTAGCTAAAAATCAGACGGAGTATTTTTATTTGCATAATTAACACTAAATATACCTACTGCTTTATTTTTTTATTTTATTTATCAGCGTAGCATTAAGAGACAATGTTAGTAGTTGACATATTTAATTATGCAATTAGTCAACATCGGATGGATAACTCTGATATGGCACGTATATAATATATAAGGGTAAATATATATAGTATATGAGGGTCAAACTAGCCTTTGATGGAAAAAACAAGTTTTTTGGAAAAAAAAACGATTTGTTTCTCAACATAGTCCCCTTTTAGCTCGATACACTTAGTAAGACGATGTTCCAATTTTTTTATCCAATCCGAATAGTACTTTTGCTCGAGCTCTTCAAAATATGCCGAAGTTTCAGCGACGGCTTCATCATTTGTTGCATAACGGGTCCTCCGAGCCATTTTTTAGGTTTGAAAACAGGAAAAAAGTGTAATTTTGCCATGGCGACGGCCGATCGGTGAGCCGGTGCATTGTCTTCGGGAAAGAGCACTTTTTTGCTCCAATAATGCTGCCTAGTACTCATCATTGATTGTTTTTTCTTTTTCCAAATCGTCGATGTGGATGGTGCCCTTCGCATCCCAGAAAACAGTCGCCATCACTTTGCAGGCTGAATGTTTACACTTTGCCTTCTTCAGCGGCCTTTGGCCTTGTTTGTGAGACTGTTTCGACTGTTCTTTGGTTTTCAGTATGTAAAAGCACACCCAGGTTTCATCAGTGGTGATAAATCGGCGAAAAAATCTTTCGGATCGCGCCGTATCATCTCCAAAAGCTCCTACGAAATGGTCACACGTTTTTGCAATTGATGGATTGTCAGCAACCTATCGCGCGGATATCTTTTTCATGACCAAATGATGGTGAATGATGTTGTGTACGCGTTCGTAGGAAATGGTTAGGATCTCTATTAACCCGCGGAGCTTAATTCGACGATATGTTATAATCATGTCATGGACTTTGTTGATCTTCTTTTGGCCTCCCGGGACACTCATCATTAAAAACACTCGTACGACTACAAATAAATTCAGCTTTCCAAAATTTTACTGTTGCTAACAAAGGTGCATTCTCACCATAAACTTCGTCCAGGTCGCCTTTGATTTGCAAATTTGTTTTACCCTTTTTTTGGAGGAACTTAATCACCGAACGATACTCGCCTTTTTAAATTTCTCCGAAAACACAAAATGTGCTTGCTTTTGACGCCTGTAAAAGCCAAACTAATTGTTTTTAAAATTTAAAATTTTAACAGACGTCATTTCATGAATGGCAAATGTCAACACCGAAACCAATTTGGTATCAAGTAGCGCCATCTATCAAAGGCTAGATTACTATCAATCTATCCTCGTATGAACTAGTGGAAAATCAGGAAACTTAACAAAAATTTTCGTTTTGATTTCAGCATTCCTCTTTTCCACAAGACTTATGTTATTTGTAAGTTTATCTTTAATTTTATTGTATCGTTTTATGCTTCTACTTAAAATTTAACATCTATTTTAAGAGAAAAAAGCCTCTTAAAATTTTAAAAATAAATAAATTTTAACCAAATTAATATTTGGTGGTAAAACCTTTGTTTTTTAGGACAGACCCGATTTTGTGAGGTATGGAGTTCAAGGGACGAGTCAAATCTTTTGATGTAATAACTTCATCGTGCTGGAAGATGCACTGTTGGGCATAATCTTCAAACAAATCTCCGATATCCGGCAGTAGTTTGGCTTACAGTATCTCTTCCTGTTTTTTTGCATAAATATTGCCCCATATTAATGATAAACGTACAACTCCATTAGTGGTCACACAAGCCCATACCATGACACTCACAGGATGCTTTATAGTGACCGTAGTATACTCGGGCAAAAGGTTTTCCTTTGTCACTCCCAAAGATCGAGATTCTGGTTTCATCACTTCAAATTACCTTACTCCACTAATCTTCCATCAACCCTCTTTGTGCCAAAGGTCAATCAACGCTTACACCCTCATTATACCTGATTTTGTGGTGCCACCAAACAAAATGTTTGCTATTTCTTGATATGTGTAACTTTTTTCTCGAAATATAATTGCTTTGGTTCTCATTCCTGGCGACCAGTCAGCACGTGTTTATAGGAGAGTTGTTTAATATACTGTTTGAAACTCACATAAGAACAGGCTATTTGAATACTTTTTAAGAAAATTCGATTCGAACAGATCTGCACACTATCACTCATATATCACAAGTACCGACTAATTCGCAGAGTAGCACTTCTATATCTATCTTAACAAATAGCCGTTCCACATCTCAGTACGTCTTAATCCCAAATTTCGAGTAAAATTCTTTAAAAGCATTATTTACAAATGATAGCTTCAACTTCAAGCACAGAATACATCACCCAAAATGTGGGTGATACTGTGAGAATTAAAGTGCCAGGTGTTGACCGTGGTTGCATAGACCAACGAAATGTGTTATCGTGGTTGTTAAGACAGAGGATTCAGAATACTTATTATAAATTAGCAAACAAAAATGGTATCCTTAAGCAGTTTTTCGCACCTAATCAGTTCGCAATTTGTAAAGAAAAATTTCATTTCATAAGATTATAACCGATAAAATGACAAGGGACCTGTTTAAACTGCAAAATAAAGTGTTCCACAGCTAAATGTAGTTGTTAATGCAAGGACTTTTGTGCAATTTGAAGTATCATGGTAATTTAAGTTGTTGCAATAAACAAGATCATATATAATACATTTCCTTTGTTTTGTTTTTGTTTATTTTTATCATCATATTAAAATTAAAAACAAAACTTTTGTCTGTTATCTTGATATTTTAGTTATCAATCGCTATATGCGCTGTTTATTACAAATAGAATAATCTTCTTAGTTTTATTAAAAATTATTCCTATTATCTAAAATTGCATGATCCTGAGAAATACACGGGACATGCGTTTTGACGTCCTTTTGCTGAATTGTGGTGAACAGTGACATGGCAATTGATCAAATTCAACGACAAATAGGATGGAAATCGGCAGATATGGCGACTGGTTACGTTGAAGAGAAAGAAAGAATTACCGATAAGAAGAATGTTTCAAGCAATATTGGGAGTGCCATTAATGGAAGTGCAACCCCATTGGCTTCTGAAAATATCGGGGGTATTAAGTTGAACAGCATTTCCTCTGATTTAAAAAAATAGAAATAGATATAAATATTTCAAACAATACCAACTGCACTTTTCACATTCATTTAAAAGATTAAGATTTTCAAATATGTGAATACAGCTTTTGAAACATTTGTTAGTAATATTTTATTTATTTGACGTTACAAAGTATATTCTCCTGTCATATAAGATCAATATTTAAGACTGTTGATGTTGCCTTGGTAACTTTAAACCACGCGTGTTTTTGAAAGTTGAATTTAAACAGGCTGAGGCGTACTTTAAATAAGCTAACTGGGGTAATAATAAAATAAAACAAATATTTTTTCCAATAATCTATTTTTAATATTGATTTTTATGTACACCAGTGTCCACTACATTACAATCTTTGTGAGGTTACTTTTTTGTCGATTTTGACTGGATTATTTTTATACGCTGCTGTTTATCGTCATCTTCACTCAATGAATGTCTAAGCCGAACAGATATTTGGGGATACCTACAGAATATTACGGTAGATCATTGTGATGAATCAAAAAGTTATAAAGTGATTTTCAATGTGATAAAAATATAAATATAACCACTTATCTATTATTTTCACAGTAATATTAATTGAATTTCAGACATGACATTAAAAAATTTAGAATCACTCATAGCGCCATACATTAGAGAAAACCAAAACATTGTTGATATAAATGTCACCAGCCTTGTTGGACCGGGAGAAAACTATGGTGGAGAATTATTTAAAATAGATGTTAATATACAAGATAGTAAGTCCAAAGAGAAAAATCAAATACATCTAGTAGGTAAGTCATTTTTGACAATCAACAATATAAATAAACGGTAGTAAAGTTGTTACGATATGAATTGGGAAAGAACAATTTTTGGGGTCCGGTCAGTAATTCTACGGCGAACATAGAAATAAAGATAAATCTTTGTAATTCTAATTATTGATTACTCCTGGTATTAGTCCACATGGATAGTGGTGTGGCTTATTAATTTGAACGTATCTTATTGGGTAATACTGAAATGTAATTGGTCAAATTTTTCGACAGTGCATACACTATAACCAAATCTGGCTTTGCCGTTAGCAGGTAAAAATTGTTTCTCATGTTTCACAGGCGGCAAGCATTTAAATAAAGACAGTAACAGTGTCGTCGTGATAAATTAATTTTATTTTAAACTTATTATATAAATTATTTTATTTTTATAGCAAAATTGTAAACTCATTTTTTAGTTCTCAAATTAATAAGCACATTAGATTTCATTTGCGTTATGTATGTATATACTTTTAATCATCAATTTTAAATTTCAATAAAAGTTAAGGAATTTTTAGGGTCCAGTCCCCAATAATTCAGAAATTAAACATTATTTGTAATTGATCACTAACGGTATTGTCCATATTGCAGCTGTGGTTTATAACTTTCTACGTATCTTATCGGGCACTACTGAAGTGTAATTAGTCAAATTCTTCGGAAGTTATTACGCTCAAACTTGATCGTTATCTGGTCAAAAATGCCTTCTCAGGTTTCTCATACTAAACGATATATTCAGTATCGTCGTGTACGACAGCAAGTTCACGTATATTTTTAATATTTTTGTGCAAACAGTAGTGTTGTGTTTTAGTTAAGTTTGAGTTAAGACAGTAGAAAATAAGTTGTGAACACATTAAAGAATATCGAGATGACAATAGAGACATTGTGTATCTTGATGGAACGTGGTTTGACACCCATGATGTAGTTCAATATGGCTGGATGGATGATAGCAAAAAGTGCTGCTTGAATACTCCTTGTTCCAGAGGAAAAAGAATTATAATTCTACATGCTGGAACTAAGAGCGGGTTTGTACCTAATGCCTTGTTATTATCGGCCAAAAACATTAAACAGTGTCATCAGCTGATTATCATGAGGATATGACGGCTGAACTTTTCGAAAAATTGGCAACGGAACAGCTGTTACCGAATATTAAAACAAATTCCGTGATAGTAATGGATAATGCGTCATACCATTCTAGACTATACACCAAAATTCCAAATACTAGCTCCAAGAAGGAAGATATCATAGAATTTATGGAGAACAAATGCATGGCAACACCTAGTAAATGTACCAAAAAGGAATTGTTGCAATTAATTAAGCAACAAAATTTTCAAAAAGAATATGTAATAGATAAACTCTTTGAACGCCACGGGCATACGGTTTTTCGGCTCCCTCCATATCATTGTGTTTTCAACCCAATTGAAATGATATGGGCCAATGTAAAAAAGAAATTGCGGAAAATGAATCAATCTCCCCAATTAAGTGACGTTGTTGTCCAAAATATAAGAACAGTGATCGAAGAACTTAACAAAACTGACATTTGGAAAAATTGTGTAGCGCATGTTCAAGTAAAAGAAAAAGAATATCCTACTTTACCACCAATTGAACCGGTAGTTATAAACACAAACGACGACTCAAGTTCTGGACACAGGGATAGTGATAGTGTTTAATTGTTTGAATATTTCTACAAAGACTTCCACAACTTGTCAAAAATATGTTCTGTATATCGAAGTAAATGTGATCTCTCGATTAATCTATAACCTAAGAGACAATTCGACTGTAAGACGAATTGGCCGATTTCATGTAAGTATCTTTCAAAAATAAGCTCTTTAAACCGATGAAACTTACAGATCATATTCATGATTATTTTTTACCAAAAAAAGGGATCAACTTTGTTTTGAGCGTAACTTGCTTACGTTTGATGCTAGAAACTTTTTTAAAAATCAAAAATAAAGATTTCTCTAAACAATTAAAAAAAAAAGTAAAAAAATATATTTTTTTTATTATTTCACGTTGAATTATTCGATATGGAATTTGACGAATAGGTAAGAATCTATTTTTCATTAGCTATAACTCTGCTTCTGCTGGGTATACAGACTTCATACATATACTATTGTTTTCACTTTTTTATAAACTGTATTTTTGCTACCAACATTTTTTCCATAAAATACTTACCTTTTGAGTTATTTGCGAGAAATCGTCCAAAAACGTGGTGTTTTTGATGAAAAATGAATATATTCACTCGCAAATAACTCGAAAAGTATTGATTTAGTAAAAACCTCTATAGAACAAAAGTTACCTAGAATTAGTCAGTTTATCCACTTCCGGACTTATTTTGGATGTATATCTTTTCACCCCCCAAGAAGGTGCGGTACTCACCCCCAGGGCAAAAATACACATCGGCACAATATCACTTTTTTTCCTTGACACGTTAGCTATATGTGTATGACAAATTTCATATCAATCCCAGTGGTTCTTTAAAATTTAGAGGTTTTTACAATATTTTACCGTTAGTGAATGGACTATATTGTGTATTAACTTTTAATCATCTTTGGTGTCAAGTTCCTAAAGAAATATGAATAATTAACAATATTATTACTGTTTAACAAAATATTAGACCTTAATTTAAAAATGAAAGTTTATTATTTAATTGCTATTGCGCCGCCTATGTTTTACAAAGAGGCCGACACTTGAGTGTCGAATTTTGTTTTTATGACTTGTCCAACTGACATCGTAGAAACTATACTGGCAATACTCGTATTGCTCGATTTTCATTATTAAGCGAATTATAATAAATTAGAATTATTATTATTTTAATTAGTATTGTAGAAACTTTATTATGTTAATAAGTATGATATCGTTTTCAATGGATATATATATATATATATATATATATATATATATATATATATATATATATATATATATATATATATATATATATAAATATATAAATATATATATATATATATATATATATATATATATATATATATATATATATATATATATAAACGAAGAATGATCACAGCTGTCCAATTATTAATTAGTATACTGGTAAGGTTGATTGGGTTAGCAGCTGAATAATGAAAGCCAAAGTGTGCTCTTTTCAACGATTTCGTTATATTTCGTTAAATTTCTTTAACATCTTCAGACGAATGCTACAATATGTTACAAAATGGTGAAATTGTATATTTTACATAAGATGTAGTAAACACTTACTTGTGTGAGGTTGCAGGCAAAAGTGGTATTTGAAAGTTCCATGTTGAAAAACTTTTTTAAAGATTTTTTATAGCAAAAAAAGGAATAAGTTGTATGTGTTATATGGTGGCTTAAAAACTCAAACAATACAAGTGCATTTTTGTTTTTTTTTCCTCCAGTGTGCAAGTACAATACAAATATTAAAAAACGTTGAACATTTAATATATATATATATATATATATATATATATATATATATATGATTATATTTATGTAAAAACTGTATTTAGTTTTATATTAGGTGTGAGAATTTTTCTGTTATGAACACTAAATAATCACTTTAAAAGGGTATTGGTAAAGTCAATAGATTTTAACATAATGAGTGGTACACCTTTTGACATCAATATATCGATTAGAAAAACATATTTATGAATGTATCTTTTGTGTACTTTAGAATGATATCTATACCTTTTTTTTCATCTAGTATAATGTCACATTTGAGGGTTTCTATGTGGTTGGCTTTAATTGTTTCGGTCAAATGTGCGATTTATGTTGTTCTAACGTTCTACATAATAGAATTTTACATTAATGAGATTTTTTTGAGCCATTGGTAAAAACCAATCTTCTTCTTAGGGTGCCTGTCCGTTCCGAAAGTTGGCGATCATTCTGGTTATGATGATTTTGTTGGTTGCTATACAAAATAGCTGTCTTGAGGTCTTTCTATACCATGCTCTCAGGTTAGTAAGCCAGGATATTCTTTTTCGTCCTGGGGCTCTTTTTCCTTCAATTTTACCCTGCAAAATGCATTGGAGTAGCTCGTATCTGCCTTGATTTCTCATTATATGTCCCAAGTACTCCAGCTTACGGCTCTTTACAATGTTGACCAAATCCGCGGTTGTGTTCATCCTTCGCAGTACTTCATCATTGGTGACTTTGTCTGTCCATGGTATCTTCAGGATTCTTCTGTATAACCATAATTCAAACGCCTGAAGTTTTGATAGAGTTTCCGCCTTCAATGTCCACGTTTCTACTCCATACAGAAGCACTGAGTACACGTAACATTTAAGGAGCCTTATTTTTGTTTTTAGGGTGAGGTCATGGCTTTTGAACACAGAGCTCATAGCCAAGAATGCACTTTTGGCCTTTCCGATGCGACATTTAATCTCTTGGATATTGTCCTACGACTCATTGATTCTAGTTCCCAAGTAATTGGGAACCAATTACTTCGTAAATCCAATGGTAAAAACCAATAACTATTGTAAATCATTTCAATTCAACAATTTCTCGATAAGTTTAAGAAAATTTTAATTTTCTAATGACATATGTTAATTGTCATCTTTAAAAAATCATTTAAAGGGCTAGCATTTATGCTGCTTCAACTCCAGTTAAAATGGTCGGGATCTGACACCAGTACCATAGAGTTTTTTCATTGTTTAAAAAAGAAAAGAAAAAATAAAACCAGTAATTTGTTGCTTACCACACGATCTCCTTTAGTAGGATACTTTATATTTGCGTATCTGTTTCGGATGTTAGCGACCATTATCATCATCTTCTTTTTTTTTAGAATTTAAGTGGACTTATTCGTCCACTGCTGGACATAGGCCTCTTCCTTTTGCTTCCATTGATTTCTACTCTTCGCAATTCTCATCCACTGCTTGCCCGCAACTTGTTTGATAACATCTACCCACCTCTTCTGTGGTCTGTTCCACGCCTGTTCTCTCTTGGTTTTCAGTTTGTTAATCTCCATTGTCTCTTTCTCCATTTTTCGGGATTATCTCGGGCAACATATTCGATCCATTGACCCTTGAGCCTGTCTCTCAAACTAATCCCTAGCATGGCCCTCTCCATTGCTCTTTGGGTTGTATTGAGCTGCTCTAAGGGTTTCTTTGTAAAGGCTATGGTCTCCAGTCCATATGTAGTTACAGGCAAGATACATTTGCCATAAACTCTACGTTTTATACACATTGGTATATGTTTATTCTTCAAGATAAAGCTTAACGTGTCAAAAACTCTCCAAGACAATTTTGTGCGTCTTTTTATTTCGGTTATTTGGTTTTCTTCGCCGATTTTAATGGTATGTTCAGTATATAGTTGTCTACATTTTTAAGACTGACGTTGTCAATAACAATATTAGTTTGTAAAATACTCATCATTTTTGTTTTCTGAAGGTTCATTTTAAGACCTATTTTGTTTGACTGCTGACTTAATTTCTTGCGCATTTGCTCCAGTTTCTTGATATCTGTACCAAATAATACTATGTCGTCCGTAAACCTCAAATGACTTCAACGTACACCATCAAGGTTTACACCTTTTTGCTTTTGAGTCGAGCTGTTTGAATACATTTTCCAATGATAAGGTAAAAAGTTTGGTGAAATAGTATCAATGTCTAATACTTTTACCAAGACGCGTTTTTTCAGTTTTTCGTCTTCATTGAATTTGATGTGGAAATTCGACTTCGGAAATTAGACATGCCTTACACAAATTAAAAATAAAAAAGCTCCTGATGAGGATCGTATAACGTCTGAAATGTTAAAAATGGGCGTCAACATCGTTGTAGAGGCTGTGGAAGTTTTGTTGAATAAGTGTCTAACAAACAGAAAAAAAATAGCCAGTCTGTGGGAAAACGCCAAAATAATACTTTTACACAAGAAAGGAGACTCTACTAATATTGACCTATAAGTTTGTTGTCACATTTATTCAAATTTCTAACAAGAATAATATCCAACCGCACAACACAAAAACTTGATTTATATCAACCGGTTGAACAGGCGGGATTTAGAAAAGGGTTTGGTACTAACGATCACTTACAAACTATCAGAACACTGGTAGAAACAAACCACAGAATATACTGTACTTCTACATATGGCATTTATTGACTTTTACAAGGCTGTCGATAATATTGAAACTTGGTCCTTTTTGTCAGTTCTGAGGAATGCTCGAATAGACTCACGGTACACTACACTTATTAAAAGCATTTATGAACAGGTCACATTCCACATCAAAAATCAGCGACCATCATGACAATCTTTGTGTTGAACCACTTACGTAGATTTTTCATCCAGGAAATCCTTTGACTTCCTGGTCCTGGTTTTCCTTCTACTATTCCTTGTAGAAATAATTGCAGCAACCCATATCTTTCGCTGTTCGTCATGATGTGAGCGAGGTAATCGATTTTGGCTGTTTTTATTGTGTTTAAAAAATTTTCCTTCCTCTTGCATTCTTAATAAAACGTCCTGGTTAGCAACATGGTCGGTAATTGTAAAATTAAAATTAGTTATGTTCATCATTGCTCTTTTGTAGCATGGCTCCGAAGATAACTTTGTAAGCGAAAACTGCTCCTTTGCCACTTTTGATTTCGTCCTTCTCGTCTAGTGACTTTTTATGTGGCATAAATCTTACAGGATTCCGTATCAATAGTTTTGGTGTTTTATTTTAAACAAATATTGTTAAATCGAATTTACCTTTAGTACAATGTTAATGTGATCCTTTTTCTAATATACAAATAACAAATTGCCATTTTATAAAATTTTTAGGTAAAACTATCCCTAAAGATGAAGAATCCCAAGAAGTTTTTAAGGTGCAAACTACTTTTAATTTAGAAATAGCATTTTACGATAGGATTGTACCCGCATTGCAAAAATTTCAAAAGGAGCATAATGTAAAGGAAGTCATAGATTGTTTTCCCAAGTATTATGGAAGTAGACTAAACTTAAATGAAAGCACGGTCATCGATAGAGACGGTATAATACTGCTGGAGAATTTAAAAATACCGGGTAAGGAAGTAAAAGAAACTAAACTATACTTATTCTTCTTCTGCTTTTTCCCATTATGAGTTTACCGTTTTTGTGTTATTGCTTGTCAAATATAACGTGATACTTAACCGATTTGAAATTATGCTCCACCCACGATGCGCATTCGACCACAACACAATTCGTCCTTATTATTTCTTGGCCCTTCGAAGTCCAAGGTACTTGTATAGTCTGCGACAATTTTTTTTATTTTACTTATGTTTAAAGTTACTGTGTGTTGAAGAAATATCAATCCATTACAACAGATTTGACTTTTTACATAATTATTGTTAAGTATTTTAAATTATAAACATGGATTTTCATTCAAAATTGGAAGGCAAAGTCTTGTCTGGACAAACGAGGGAGGTAATAGCAAATGTAATTATTTTTATGCAGAAAGGAGCCATCCAAAATTCGCATGTTAAAGATTTTAAAAAAGTTCATTAGCGTGCTTTCTTAACAGGAGTAAGTATATCCACTATAAAACGGATCTCTCATCAAATGAAAAATATAGAAGAAGGTGCTTCTACATCATTTTCGACGCCTAACAAAAGAATGAGATCTGCCCCAAAATCCAACTTGGGCGATTTTGACAAAGTTTACTTCGGTGTATAATAATAAATTATTATGTCACGGAAAAATGAGTTCCTACATTGCGACATATAACAAAAAAAAAATAATGAAGACAATATTTATACAGGGTCGCACGAAACTTTGAGAAAAGCGATGAGAGATATGGGATTTCGATAAAAGAAAGCAAAGAAGAACAGAAAAATCCTAATGGAAAAACCCGACAACTGCTCCGGAGGAAGTTTCTCAGAAATATTATACAATATAGGGAAGAAAATCGGCCCATAATTTACATGGATTAAACTTATATTCATTCCTCTCATACCCATGACAGATACTGGGGAAATAATACCACCGAAGGTTTGCACAAGCCAGTGTCCAAAGGGCAAAGGCTGATTATTGTTCACGCCGGCGGCCAAATGGGGTTCATAAAAAACGCATTTTTGACATTTAAATCTGGTACGAAGTCTGGAGATTATCATAGCGAAATGAACTATAATAATTATAAAAAATGGTTTCATGAAAAACTGATTCCTAATATAGCAGCCCGTAGAGTATTGGTTATAGACAGTGCACCATACCACAATGTCCAAGTGAAAAAATGTCCCACTATGGGGTAGGGATGGCGGTTTTTGACAAAACACCGGTTTTCGGTTATACCGGTTTTTTTTGCTTACGGTTTAACCTGTCAGTTATAACCGGCCAAAAAAACCGGTTTTTCCAAAAACCGGTTTTCGGTTTTTTTATTCCAATAGATTAGAAAGTTACATTTACAATGCACTTTAGTTTGCGATACTACATTCGACTCGATATCAATATGATCAAAATTAGTACTATCGAAAGAACATCAATATCAATGTAAATACAACACAATTTTTTGTGTTTTTTGAGAAAAAAATTCCCCAACCAAAATTTTCCAGACTCTTTCAAATGGGATTTAAAGAAAATAATATTAACATAAATATTTTACTTAAAAATAAATTGGATAATGCAATTCATCTTTTATTTTTACTACCATCAAAAAAAATATCATGTATTACTTTTAACTCATTTACGACTTCCGGTATGGGTATAAATCGTTTTGAAAACGTAGGGAAATCCTTGGAGATTCGTATTTGTAATCGGTAACTCGATATTCATAGTCATTATTTTTGGTAATCAGAAAAAGCCATTTACCCACTTTCAATGTCAAGAGTCAAGTGTGAAAAATAGATGATGTATAAATACCAGATCAGTTCTTATGTAAAAATATTATGATTACAAATACTTTTTCAACGAAATACTATAATAAAATTTAATTGTTTCTGGCTGTGAGCTTGCACTTTCAGTATTTATAAAATAAAATAAAAATTGAATTTTAGTTTTCTTTGGAATAATTACTTGAGAATAATAATTATGATTGGGTGGGATCCAAAATAATACCTAACCTAATCCTAATCACTGTAAAAACCTAATAACCGGTTTTTACTTTAAAAATAAAAAAACCGGTTATAACCGGGACAAAAAAACAACCGATAAAACCGGTTATTACGAAGTAAAAAAAACCGGTTTTCGGTTAAAACCGGTAGGTTTTTCCCATCCCTACTATGGGGTGTAAAAAAGACGAAATGTAGGAATGGTTAAAACAAAAGAAAATTTGAATTTCAGACGAAATGATAAAAGCAGAATTAAATAATCTAATAAAATTTCACAAACCCAGAAATAAAACTTATGAAATAGATCCCTACCACCCAGACTTAAATCCAATTGAGTTAGTGTGGATTGCTCTAAAACAATATGTGGCGAATAAAAATGTAGATTTTAAATTTAAATATTTTGTATTATGAGAAAAATTTCCGAAGGAAAAATTGAAACGTCAAAATAACATACAATATAGACATATTATAGAAGTTCCATTAATAAATAAGGTCACTCTCTGTAAACTTGTAGTACGGAGTGTACCAACGAGGCGAAGAGACCGAGCGCATTATGTATCTCCTTTCCTCGGAATGCGTTCTCACTTAATTTTTTACGCAAGTTGACAAATTTGTCAAGTATCACCTTAAATTTGACAAGCTGTACACAGCACGCTATTCTGTCAGTCACATTCTCTAAGGTCTCTCTCTATCATACGTAGGTTTTCCATTTTGGGTCCCAATCCAATATTTTTTTAGCTAGCTGTGATCTGCCAGTCTTTGTATATGTCCATACCATTGCAAGGCTCTGTTTAACAAAAACAAGGTTTACTAAACAAGCCACTGCGAATTCCGAATGGAGTATTTATAATTCTCTCCTTTAGTACCTTGTATATTATGATATGTAATACTTGCAGAAAGATATTTAAAACGTAACTCATCCGACTTATTGTCCGATAGTCACTGCAAGGCTTTGCACAATATTTTGTTGGTATTGTGGCAAATATTGACTTAAGCCAATCAGTTGGTAATATTCCAATATCATAAATTCTGTTAAAGAGACCACACCGTGCTTTAAATTCATTTCCATCCAAAAACATTAGTACTTCACCACTCACTTCATCGGGGCCAAGTGTTGTTCCATTTTTTGTCATTGTAATTATTGCCTATATAACCTCATGTTCTGTTATAGATATATGTACACTTCCCGTCATATAAAACTGGTACACTTTTTTTCCCAATGTAAACCTGTGTTCAGACTGGACACAATGGCTCGTGAATCAATTCGTTGTTGCCATTACAAATAACGGAATTTCAGTAAATTTAAATAAAACGTAAAACGTAAAAAATAACGTTCAAAAATCTTTTATGTAATGCATCTATGCATCTATTGTAATTTTATACTTCAATTACTTATAGAACACAAACTGTTAACTGTATTTTATGTCAATCAATTTAGTAATAGGCAAACTACCTAAATTTATTTATTATTTATTACATGAACGGTAAATGTGAAAAACTAACATTATACTTTATTCTACATAGGTTATAAACTATAAAATATCTGGGGCGAAAAACGCTTTTAAAAACGTGACAGTATTACATTATCCTCTTATAACTGTAAAAAATCCTCTTATAACTGAAAAATGCTGGTTTAGTATCTTTAGATGTTATCAGTGCGTGAAAACGTCCCAATCATATTCGAACAATTAAACATAAAAAATATTGCTTGCCATCTGTCAGATTTGACAAGTTTGTCAAAGTGAATTTTTAAAGATGCCACGTCAGTTAAGTCAGTTTGATAAAACGAGAATAATTTCAAAAATAGAAGATGGTTGGTCTATTCGACAACTGGCTCAAGAGTTAAATAGAAGCAAAACCACAATCCACAACATTAAAAAAAGATGGGAAAACGACCAGATTTTGGATAGAAGGAGAGGGAGTGGGAGACCAGTTATTACTACAGCCCAACAGGATGAAACATTATCTAATTATTTAAGAGCGCATCCCTTCCATACGGCAAGGCAAGCAAAAGTTAATACAAACTTTAATGCTTCTATAACAACAGCATTAAGGAGAATTAGAAGAACATATTTAAAAAATTGTGCAGCCGCCCGAAAATACAAATTTGGCGAGGAACATAAACAAAGTAGACTCCTTTTTGCTTTAAATTACGTTTTAAATGATCCAGGTAATTTTTGGGACCGTGTAATTTTTACTGATGAAAAAGTATTCCAGTCTCATTATGATGGCTATATTAGGGTTTATAGACCGCCTCGAAATAGGTTTAACGGAAACTATATTTCATCAAATGATAAGTCCGGACGGTTCTCTATAAATGTTTGGGCTATAATTTTATTTTCCAGCATGATAACTGCTCAATCCACACAGCCCACCGTGTACGGGATTACCTTATGGAAAATAGCATTGAAGCTCTTCCATGGCCCTCTAAAAGTCCAGATATTAATCCAATAGAGAATGTTTGGGGACTTATGATCAACAAAATACAAAAATTAAATGTAGTTCCCCAAAACAAAGATCATTTATGGACCATCATTAAAGAAATCTGGGAAAGCTTGGCCGAAGATGAAAATTTGTCACTAAATTTAATTAACTCAGTTCCCAGAAGATTACAAGAAGTGATTAATAACAATGGAGCTATAACAAAATATTAACTGTTCTAATTGTAATACACATATTTAAACCCCACACTTGTTCACTGTAAAAATGATTCATTTTTTATTAATTTCAAATAAAATTTTAATTTTTTCTAGTGGGTTTTATTTACTGTAGTATTCCACAACTCAATACAGTTTTGTGCTACACTTTACGAGAAACCAATCACACCTCTCGATTTGAAATTAAACATAAATTTAAAGTCATGTCTAGATTTATTATCTATCATTATTTTTGAATTGAAATATTTTTATAAATTATAATAAAACACGAATCAATGTATGGGTACTGAGAGAATGGAAAATTTCAAAATTAATAGAATTTTTAGACTGATCGAGAATGCTCAATATGATTTTAGTTTTTAGTATACTAAAAACTTGCGTCCCGCCACACAGCTCTGCTTTTAGCTGGTTTGATATAATATTTTCGTTGAACTGGCATCGTTGCCTTCGAAATTAGAATGACACATATGACAAGCTCAACTTACACAACTTAAAAAACACGATTTTCGGTTATAAGAGTTGTACCAGTTTTTTATGACGGGAACGGTACATGTTATAACAATCGGTATACAGTGTTCCACTCTTTAGTCTTTAAATTATATTAAGAAATGTAATTTTTCTATTCTTTTAACTGTCCATTAAAATCTAATATTCTGTGTCCGTTTTTTACTTCTATACTTTGGAATAGTTGTTTCTGTTTCCGGCGATCTTTTTTATTTTCTTGTGCAGATGAATTGTATGGCGTTTTCCTTTTTTTCCATACAATTTTATTACATTATTTTCTAAGAAATTGTATTATTGCATGTCTTATTTTTTTCCAATTATTAAGTGTATCCTCTTGTATTCGTTTTTATCTTTATTTTTGACTTCTTCTCTTTGGTCCGTCAGTCTCACTATTTCTTCTGGCATCCACCATTTGCTTTATTCATATTTTTACTGAACTTGAATTCTCGTCCAGTTTTCTTTTGTACTTTTCTTGATGTCAACTTAATTTTTTGTTTCAGTACACTGGTTTTTTTCTTGTTTTACAACAGGTTTTTTACAGGTTCTTTTAAACCTTTTCAATTTGTAGTATTAGTGTATTTGTACCTACCGTAATATTGTGATCTGTTGTTACATCTGCACTTAAATATATTTTGACTGCTTACAGTAAATTTCTAAATTATTTGTACATGAACTCTCTTTGGTAACGAAACCAAACCACTCGTTCAGGTGTATTTGGAAATTGGAAAATTGTGATTGTTATTACTAGTTGCTTTTATACACAAAAATTTGTCAACAAACATATTTCCTCTTTCATTTTGTATTCTCAGACCATATTTTCGTATGACATCTTCCCTGTTTAACTTTCCAATCTTTGCATTTAAATCTCCCATAACAATATTGATCTCATGTTTCTTTATCGACGCTAATAATTTTTCTAAATGATGATAGAATTTTTTAATTTCTTTTTCTTTATATTCTTGCGTGGGTGAATATGTTTGTAAGATATTCACCATTAGTATTGTTGTTTGTATTCGTAGCATTAGTATCCTAACTGAAAATAGGACGACTTTTTTTACAACGTTATCAGCTTTATTGTGACGAAGACAAGTATTATTGCCACACCGTTTTTGTGCTTTGAACTGTCTTATTCTGATCCTTTATTTCTTTTCCTTATTTAGGAGCTTTATTTCTTTTATTGTCTTCTTTTATGGTTTGTACATACTTCTTACATTACATGTAATTACCTATTTTTTGTTTCTTCAGAAAATGTATACACGGTCTTAGCTGATCGGGATATTCTCAGCTCCCCTGTTTTATTTAAGGTGCGCCCTTACTTGGGACCATTGTATTTATCAACAATTTCCATGATTGTTTCTTGGGACGGTGAGGATTTAAGTAAGTTCCCGTTGCGTTTCTAGAGTGTGTAGTCGAAGGAAATATGGGTCGGAAGAAACAGTAGGAAAGATTAAAGACATTTCACTAAAGGCAAGAGCCAAATGTGAAACCTCTTGAAACGTATTGATACACTTAGTGGTTACACTTGTACGTCGTTATGTTAATAAAATTTATATAAAAATTAAAAGATAGAGTTAGAATTTAACAATTGTTTTTATTGAATGCTTTAATAACTTTATTGTTCTAGGTTATAGCAACCTCGATAGATACGTTGGGTATAATTTAGAGGAAGCCAAAATTTTACTTAAAGATTTGGCGGAATTTCAATCAACAGTTGTTGCACTAAAGCTTAAGTATCCTGATGTATTTAAACGAGAGGTGGGACTTTTTTGCCAGAACGATATAAAACTTCCCCGAGACTACCGATTTTACCATTTTATTTTAGTTATAGAGGACCTTTTTCAGAAATCCGAATTATGCAAGCCATATATATCAAAGGTAAATATTGGTTTCAAATTATATATATTGCGTACGGCTTAAACTGCGTCGAATTTGTTTATACCGAGTTTTCGTCTTCTTTTCTGAGGTCTTCATAAGGGTTTTCGGGTCTTAGTTTCCTGAGCTCATTTACAACCTTCACTTATACATTGTTTATCTGTTTACAATTTACTTCACTGCAATAATATGTCTTCTTCTTCTTCTCCTTCTTTTTATATAGACATAACTCTGTCTGTTTTCAATGTGCCTTTAGTAAGTTGTCATTCCATCGTTTTTGTGGTCTTTCTACTGATCGTCTTGCTTTTGGGGAACCATCTCTTGCCTTCTTTACTACTCTATTTGTTGTCAATCGGCTGATATGATCGTTCCATTCTTCTCTTCTATTTCTTACCCAATTTTTAATGTTCTCCACCTTGCGTCTATGTCGTATATCTATACTTCTAGCTCTCCCCCATATTGTCTTACCATCAATTTTTCTAATTGTTTTTATCTATGCTGTTTCTAACATCCTTTTTGTCCTCTCTGTGTCAGGTCTTGAATGAACACCATATTAGCGTTACTTTCTTCATTTCTGTATTTTTCAATCAACTGATTGAAATAGTAAACATTGCGTCTGTTGTTGATTTGCCCTGCATAAATCCAAACTGATTACTGGATATTTCGGTTTCTTCACGTATCTGTGTATCAGTAATTACTCTCTCCCATATTTTCGTGGTGTAACTCAGTAGTTTTATGGTCCTGTAGTTTGTAGCAGTACATTGCTTATTTTGTTTATAGTTTATTAAGTTTATTCGTCCTTTAATGTGATTGCCAAATTAAGGGGAAGATATAAAACGCCGTCTAGGATTTGATAGAGTTGTTTAATAGAGAAAATGTTTTTACTTGCGCCATCTATGAGCCAGGGACAAAATTTCTTTTTCGTAACGTTTTCTTTGCGTATTTATCCAATAGGGGGCGCTGAATTAGTGTCTAAATTATTTTGCAATTGTAACGTCTTTTTTATATAAGCGAAAAATCTTGATTAAACGACAAACGTTGCTCTGTTCTGCTGTAGTAAAATAATGCATTAATTATTTGTTAAATAAAATTATGAAGCTTTTGAAGCATTTAAATAGTGAACATCTAGACAAAAAAGAAAGCCCATAGAATTCTTTGAAAGAAAGCCAAGGTATCTTCACAATCAAAAAGCGATTTTTACATCATCAACCACTACAAATAAGAAAGAAAAATCCAGATAGATACATACAATTACTGAATATTTGATTTTATTGAATAGTAGGTAAAAAAACTGAAAAAACAAAAGCCATACCCTCTAATAATAATACTATCCAAAGAATGACAAGATACATGGCAAAAGATGTTCTAGAAGGAAATATTGAGAACATCTATTATTTATTTCTACCTCTTGATTCCATCTATTTTTTGTCCTACCTTTTCTCTTTTTTAAAGCTATAGTGTAGTTCAGTACCCTTTTTGGAGTCCTCGTGTTCGGCATCCTTTCTAGGTGACCTAGCCATCTTAGTCTCTGTGTGTTAATGACTCCTATTATATTAGGTCGATGATATAATTCCTTTAACTCAATATTTGATCTTCTTATCCATTCAACGTCCCTTATATCCTCCATATATCTTGCTTAGGATTTTCCTTTCCCATATCTCCAGTAAATTTTGTTCATTTTTTGTCATTGTGCATGTCTCACTGCAGTATGTTACTATTGGTTGCATAGTTGTTTTGTATAACTGTATTTTTGCCTTTCTTAATAAAATACTTCCTTTTTAACATTCCACTAAGAGCATGTACACTTCTATTGGCTGCCAGTATTCTAGCTTGTATTTCTTCTTTAATGTTAGGTTAACGTGATATTATTGTACCTAAGTATGTGAATCTTTCTACCATTTCGAATTCGTATGATTCATTCCTTCTTCTACTTTTACTTTAAACTTTTGTCCATCCCTGAACTGATCATCTGTCCACTGCATACATTTTGTTTAAGTTTCATTTATGTAGAATCCCAGTTTCGTCGCTGCTTTTACTATTTTCTGTACTATTACCTGTAGCTCTTTTTTCCTCTTGCCAGCAACACTACATTATCCGCAAATGCCAAAACTTGGTGTCTTTTATGATATAGAAGTTCTTCTCTATTAATTTTTGCTTCTCGCATTATTTTTTCTAGGCATAAATTAAATAGCAATGATGACAAAGGACCGCCCTGCCTTAATCCTTCGTTTACCATAAATTTGTCCGATGAATAATTGTTTACTAAAACTTTGTTTTCTCTATTCTCTAAAGTAAGATGTACCATGTTACGCAACGTTCTACTAACTCCCATTTCCTCAAGAGTCTCTTTTTATTCCTGTTTCATTATTCTATCGTATTCTTGCTGGAAGTCAATAAATAGCGCTATCGTTGGTAAGTTGTGTTCATAGCTTTCTGCTTGTAATTCTCTGATTACGAATACTTTGTCCGTTGTGCTTCTCCTTCGTCTAAATCCGCACTGATATTCGACTATTATATTTTCAACTTCCTTTTCTAGCTTATCTGTTATGGATTTGGTCGGATTTTATATACGGTATTTAGTAACGCTACTCCTCTATAATTACTGCATTCTGTTTTGTCTCCTTTTTTGTGTAATGGTCAAATAATTGCTTCCTTCCAGTCTCTGGTATTCGTTGTTTTATCCATATCTCCTTTATGATCTTGTATATCCAATCATTTAGCAGTTTTCAATTATATTTCATCATCTCTGCTCTTATATTATCGCTTTCAGGGCATTTATTGTTTTTCAGATTTTTTATAATTTTCTCGATTTGTTCTTTGCTGGGTGAATTATCGTCTGGTCTCTAAGATTCTTTATTCTGCTTCCATACATTCTCTTTGATTTGACTTATTCTTGCCATTTAGTAATTCATGAAAATACTCTTTCCATCTTTCGACTATTTCTGCTTCACCGCTTATATTATTTCCTGCTTTGTTTTTAACGAATATGAGTTTTTGTTGGAAACCTCTTTTTTCTAGCACCTTTATATAGGTTTTTTATTTCTTTATATCTGTAAATTTCTTATATATCTTTTAGCTTATTTTCTATGTGTTTTCCCTTTTTTTTAGCACCCTCTTTACTTTTTGTCTTTGCTCCATATATTTATTCTTTGTCTCTGTTGTTTCTTTCGTGATCATTTTCATCCGAAATGATTTTCTTAGTTCTATTTCTTTTTGGCACTCTATGTCAAACCAGTCTTCTTCTTTGCTTCTCTTTACACGAACTAGTAATTTATTATTTTCTTCCCGGATACATCTAATCTGATTAATACCTTCTTTAATAAATATTTTTTCTTTTTAGAACTTATTTTACATTCAGTTTCTTTTTTGTAGATTCGTGACTTATGGTACGAGCACTTCTCACCAGATGCTGAATTGCATCTAACTCGAGAGCCATTCGCAACCATCACTCATCGGGATCTTTGGGTGAACAACGCTATGATGAAATTCGAAAACGATAAACCAGTGAAGAACAAATTTGTCGACTTTCAAATATACAACTACGGCTCCCCAGCTACTGATGTTCTAAATTTCTTATTTACCAGTGTCAACACAAATGCAACTAAGAATCATTTTGATTATTTATTACATCATTACCATTCCGAGTTTGTTTCTAACTTGAAACAATTAGGATGTGACACTGAGCCTTTCAGTTACTCGAACTTTCTTAAAGAACTAGAGCTGGAATCTCACGCAGCACTTAGCTGGGCAGTAGGATTTGTACCAGTCATCGTATTTGGCCGAAAAGGAGAAAGTTATACAGACACACCAGTATTAAATTTTAAAGATTCTGTATTTAGGAAGAAGGTTTTAGATAATATGATGCTAGAGGCAAAAGAAAGGCTCTTTTACATTGTGGAAGAGTTCATAAAGAAGAAGTGGTTGTAATAAAATTTTATATTCTTTTATTTATAATAAAGTTTTGTAACTTAAAAAAACGAATAAATATATCATGCTCGTTGCAATAGCAACGAGACTGTTTGGACTTCATATTATTATCTAACGTTTTTTAGCTAAAAAGTACTCTTACTCCTTGAGCTCTCTTTCCTTCTATTAATAATTTTAGACGTTCATGTTTCTCATTTATTAAGATATGGCAGAAATATTCCTTCTTGCGTTTTTTTTTACAGTAAATAAAACTTCACGTTTTTTCGCCAATCCTCGGATTGCTTCTTCGTTACGCTCTCTATATATTCATGATATTCTTAATATCTTACAGTAGTATCACATTTCAAAGGCTGAAGCATAGCGGCGTAGCAGCACCCGAGTTCATAGTGTCGTGGTAAGTTTGCATTACACATAACTGGTTTCAGTTTGATAAATGATGCTGTGGCCTATTCAATTCTTGCATAAACCTCTTACATGTTATCCCAGTTTTCAATAAGCTGATAGCCTAACGATAGAGGAATTACAAATACAGAAGAAAATACGAAGAATAGTAAAAGATGAAATAAAGAAAAGTAAACGTGTCCATATTAAAGCCAACAAACTGATAACAGATGATCCAGAAGGAGATGGAATATGAACACCAACCAGCTGGAGGACCATCCTGGAGGTGATTCAAAAAACTAGTAAGTCATGACAGGATACATTATTCGTTGACGGACGGAGCAAAGAAACAGGAAATAACTACAGATAAACTCGGGTACAAAAAAAGTAAAATAAAGAAAGATAGACAAGAAAACAAAAGTAAAAGGAGGGAGACAACAGGACAAAAATAAATAAAGAGTTAAAAATAAGCACATGGAACATAAGAACTATGGTAGCTCACAAGATCACAAAGAAGATAGGTAGGACAGTACCAATAGTTAGACCAATATTACTATATGCAGAAGAAACAATGATGATGGTAAAAAAATTAAGAGGACTTAACAATAGCGGAGAGAAAGATGATGAGAACTATAGTGGGACCAATCAGAACAGAGCAAAATGAATATAGAAGCAGAACAAATGCAGAGATTAAGGAAGAAATTAAGGAAGACATCGTGACTAAAATAAAGCAATGCAAAGTTAGATCGTTAGGTCACATTGATAAGGAAGTGACATACGCAGTGATAGAATTAAAGAGCCTAATAGACCTCTTAAAGACTACACAGTTTATGTAACAATAAAACACTGAAAACTTTGTTTTCAAACTTTCACATAATTTATTTTAACTATTATCACTACAGCTGTTTCGGCTGATTGCCTATCTCAAGTGATCTATTTTTGGCATGCGTTTACAATTTATAGTCTCTAATGAAATAGGTTGAGGAGGGGAGAACTGTTTGTCTCAAGTTGGTCATTCTGAATTATATCTGTGTTTTTTAATTTGTTGATTTACATAGATTCTAACAAAGATAGCTTAAGGCCTTTATTTTGAATGTGAAGAATTTTCAATTTGTCATTAAAATAATGATTATGATCTAGAAGGTGAAGTGGGTATGTCGAATCTGTTTTTCTCTTATTGAAAGCCCTTTTATGTTCTGCTATTCGTTTATTTAAGTTTCTACCAGTTTGACCGATGTAAGTTTTTGGGCAGTCGCCACATTGAAGTTTGTACCCACCACTATTTAAGTGTTTTTTATTTTGGCTCTTGTTATTTTTAATATAATTGCCTAGATTGTTATTTGTGCGGAAAGCTGGTGTTGTTCCTTTCTCTTTTATGTGTTTGGCTATTTTTGTTGTTATTTTGCCTGTATATGTAATCGAGCAGAAGGTACTGGGTTTTTCCTCTGGTGGTGGAAATACTAATTTCAGGGCTTTCTTGTGTAGTTTTTTATATAACATTTTATTAATTGTTTGTTCGTTGTAACCTTTGTTTACTGCTATTGGCTTAATTATATTTAATTCTGTCTCAAAGTTGTATTTTGACATCGGAATTTCTGTTAATCTATGTAACATACTATGATAAGCTGCCAGTTTATTTTGTGTTGGATGGGATGATGAATTGTGTATAGTCGTGTCAATATGTGTAGGTTTATGAAATATGGAGAAGTCAGTCTGATAATTTTTATATCTAAAAAATTTATGGATTGATTTTGTTCTGTTTCTATTGTAAATTCAATATGACTATGAAGTAAATTAATATACGATAAAAATTGGTCCAGTTGCCTGTTAGCTCCTGTGAAACATACCAGTACGTCTTCTACGTATCTCCACCAATATAAATATTGTTTGAATACGGGACGTTTTGAAATCTTTGTCTCTAGATGGTCCATAAAAATATCTGATAGTAATGGGCTTAGAGGATTGCCCATTATAAGTCTTGCACTGTTATTTGTATATATTTGATCATTAAATTCAAAGTAGTCCTGGTTTATGCAAACTTCAAGAAGATGTAAAATTTCAGATGTAATTATTGGATTTGTACTATTTTGGTTAAAACCCTAAAAGGTTTTTTACTAGAATAAAAGTTTCTGTAGGAGGGATACTAGGAAAAAATTTTTTACGTCAAATGAAATTAATCTGGAGTTGTTAGGCAATTGAAAATGTTGTATTTTATTAACTAGTTCTATTGTATGTTTTATGGTAAATTTAGGTAAAAATTTAGTGTGTTCTAAAATAATCTCTAGCAGTTTTTTTGAAAGTTTATATGATGGAGCTGTATAAAAAGAAACTACAGGTCTTATTGGGTGATCCGGTTTGTGTAGTTTAATGAAAGAGTATAATTTAGGAGGCTGTGGGTTCATGATATTAAGGTATTTCTGTTCTATTGGATTTACTACACGACTACACAGTTGTTTAACATAACATAATTTTCATAATATTGTTATTCTTTAACTGCTTAAGTAATTTAATGAAATGTAAAATTTAACGAAATGTAAATTGTAATGTAATGCAATGTAAATACTCATAACTATGTAATATTGTAAACCTTTGCCCCCATGCCAACGACTTCAATGTTATTAATAAAGCCTCTGTGATTAAAAAACATTATGCTAACTCGGCTTCTATTGGTCGAAGAAAACTCTTTTTTTCGAAGCCAGCTATAATCGTCTGCAAATTAGAAATTTGTAGGGTACATAGGGGGCGCTGCAGCTCTAATTCTTTATAAATGCAATTTTACAACTTTATAAATAATTTTTTTATCGGGTTAAAAATCTTTTTCATTATTTTCTAGTGGAATATGAAAATTTACGGCATTAGGAAGAGATTGGAACAAGAATTTGCCCTCTACGATTGTTTTTGGCAATCCTACAAAGGATTATATCTTATATGTAGGAAATCCTACAATTCAAAGTTAAAGGTCGTGGGATAAACTAATTAACGTATCTTAGCAACAAATTAAGCGATCTAGGCCTACTATGGCTCATTCGATTTGTAATTTTATATGCTTGAATGTAATGTACTTGAAATAAAAAAAGAGCAATTTTGCAATACATATTACGTGTTTTAATTTTGACCTTCATTCGTCATTTTTGCAATAACAAATAAATTAAATTGAGCGTATACCGGCTCAAATTAAAAGTCTTTTAGAATACTTTCATAATCTATAAGAAATTACCCATTACAATACTAACTTTGGGCAAAAAATGAAAAAAACAAAAAATACGTATTTTGTACCTATAAACGTTCATAAATAATGTAATAACCAAAGTTGTAATAAAGTAATAACCAAGATTTTTTGTTGAATGAACTGGGGAATTGCTCCTAAGATTGCCCTTTATAACCTAAATCACATTACATAAATTCCTGGATTACAGTGTACAATCACTCTTTTTCCCCCACAGCCTGGGCTATAACTATTAATAAATCGCATATTGTAAACTATATTTTGCAAAATTGGTAAGGGGCGTCATTTGCCTAAAATGTTTAGGTTTATAAATATTAGTTCGGGGGGTAAGGGAATTAATAGACTATTTTAGACTAATTGGTACAGGACGTACTCATGGCTTAGCGGAAGTGAAATTAAAAACCAATTTTTCTGTTGGTCTTGCATCTTATTTTTGACAAATAGGGGCACACATCAAAATCCGTGGTGTGAATCTGGTTACGATTATTAAAAGGAATAATTAAGGGCTTTATAGCACTAAGCTTCAGGTTACTAGATAGTGCCCATTGTGAAAATGCTATTAGACATAACGAAATTGCAAAAAATATTCACGCAGTTTTACCTCGTTTAATTGATTCTGTATTTTTTTTAAATTGTCAGAAATTATAATTTGGGGATACGATGAATTGGAGCATTAAATAAGTCAAGGTAATTATAGATAACTAATAAAAATTGTTACAGGTCCAAAGAATTCAGAATAAATTATTGAAATAAAGTTTTATTATTTTAATTTTGGCTAAATATTTGTTAACAACTCCACAAGATTTCATGGAAAATTTATGCATTCCCAAGTCTTATTTTGTCTCTGAGATGATCTATTCGTTCTTTCCTTGATTTTGTACAGCCTAAAACAAAAATAAGTATAAAATTAAATGAATAATAAACTTTGAATTAAAAATAAACAAACCAAAAACCCTATTTCTTATTTTAAAGGTTAATGTCAAAAACAGCCTGATAGAATTCTTCTTCTTGTATTTTTAAACAGATCTCAATCCTATTAATAGTACAACTAATTTCAAATAAATACAATGGCAGGCGCCAGATAAAAAAAAACTTATCTTTAATTTTTTTCTTTTCCTTTCTTTGGTGGTCTTTTGTATGGAAAAATATTGGTTCGTGTAGAACTTACAACGCAATTTTGCGGCTTTTCTAAAGTTTTCTTGATAGTTTTCCGAAAATTTAATAGTTGTAGCAGTGAGAAGTTGAGCAATTATCACCTATCGTGTGGATTTGTTTTCTAAAACTAAAAGAAACTCGATTTTATAAACTAATTTCGTATTAGAAACACTTTACGGCCACATTTGAACAAAGGTAGGTTTTCTTTTTTTTACGTTTTTTAGGCCTTTTATTTTTACTCTATGATTTAATCTCAAACCATTTTGATCATCTTTTCAACTTTTATTTATAATCTTGCGACTTCTTAAGGGATTGGCTAGCAGTTTTCCATATTAGTTAGAATCGGATGTTATCCAATTGTCCATAAGAGAGAAAGAACCTAAAACGTAGGATTATTAAAGGAAATAATAATAATAAATATTAAGTACTCACCTGGGATCGAGTCTCCAGAAATCAAGAAGATAGACTTTCTAACAGCTAAGTGGAAATTTATTTTTAATTTTGGTAGAATCAAACATTACACTAAATTTCTCATTTTTTTTTAGTACGACACTGTAATTAGAACCCCACTGTAGTGATTATAATAAGAACTTGTTAATTAACCTTTTCACTTTATTGTTCAACTATTGATTTTAAATTGATTAAAAAAAAGAAATCTTTAATAAAGACAAAAGTAGCAATCGAAGAATATATTGATTTATTGATAATCATTCCTTTACCCACTTTCCTGAGGGCTCTCCGAAAGAGTGTTGATAAATACATATCAAAATGTTTATGAAATATTTTTGGTATTTTAAAGGAAAAACTTTTTGATATCAAAAATAAATTGGTAGGGCAAACTTATATGACGGCGCTGCCGTGATATCTGGTGAATGGAATGGTTTCCACGCAAAAATTAAAACTATTGCACCGCAAACTTTATTTCCCCACTGTCATGCGCATATAATGAATTTAGTTTAGCAGGATACGCGTAAAAAAAATTAAGAATATCGAATGAATTTTTTTTTGCCAGTTTAAGCGAAATTACTTTTTTTCTCAAGCTCGCCTAAACGGACAAATATTTTAGAACAGTTTTTTTCGAACAAAAAATGCCAACAGTTTGTCAGAAGCAGATTATTGTTAGCAGATTTTGAAAGTTTTTGATTTTATTACTGAAGGTGACGATCTTGAAAGTGATGATATCTCGATTCGTGATGCAATCGGTTTATGAAATGATTACTCTTTTAATATTTTTTTAAATATTTTTAAGAAAGTGTTTACCCAACCCGATTTGATATTCAATGTTAGTTAAAATCAGTCAACTGACATTATTATTATTCCAACAAACTCCCTGGACTATTACTTATTAGAAGTCTTGCTTCTCTTAATTATATTTTCAAGCTCCGCTCCTGGATATAATACTAAGAGATTTCTTATTAAATAATTAAAATTATCTTTTTACGTTTAGTCTACTGATAATTTTCCACCTTGAAATAAATATTACTACTCTTATTGTAATCAGTTTAATACAAATTTAAACAAATACAAATATATCATTTGTAGATTTCGAAAAAAAATTCTTAAATATAAGATGTTTTGAAATCATCTGTAAAAGAAGGAATTTTCATTATATTTGTGAAAAAAAGCACTATGTCCGTGAAAAACATTGAATCTCTTTGTTCTCAAAGAATTGGATACAACAAAAAGATTGTTCAAACGCAAATGACTAATTTAGTACCGGAAGGAGAAAATTATGGAGGAGAACTAATAAAATTAAATCTGGTGGTCCAAGATGAAGACAACAATGAAAGGGAAGAAATACATGTAGTGGTGAAAAAAATTCCTCCTTCGGAAATATTTCAGAAGATCTTTAATATCCAACATACTTTTAAAGCTGAAATTAATTTTTACGAGAAACTAGTACCGCATTTTCAAAATTTCCAACGAGAAAATAATGTAGAGGATGTTCTGGATTGTTTTGCAAAGTTTTACGGCAGCAGATTGAATTTGAATGGATCAGAGAAAGTTGATGAAGATGCTGCTATAGTTTTTGAAAATTTAAGTGATGCAGGTAAATACGATAATAATTATGATAATAACTTAGATAATTATATAATGAATTTGTGATAATTTTTATAGTAGGTATAGAGATAGTTTCATTGACTATAATGTTATTTAAACACTTGAGTCGAATAGTACTACTCTATTTATTTAGATTTCTAGAAAAAACTTTACTTTACTTAATCAGTAGACCCATTTGTACCTTTCGGTGTTGGGCCGTTTATAATAAAATTCATTAAATTACAATATTTTACAATCATCTTAGTTGTCCTAGCTGTTAACGAACTTTCTCCATTTCTTCCTAGTTGATGCCACTTGTGTTGCTTCCTGCCAAGTCTTACCCTTACTTTGCAGTATCTGCTAGGTGTCAATGTTCCATTCTTTATTGGGTCTTTCTCTTCTGTTCTTCCCTATTGGTTTGGCGTCCCACACTCTTTTTACTTGTCTATTATTGTCCTTCCGGGTTAGATGTCCGAACAATGCCAATTTTTTCTCCTTGAGTCTTAATTGAGTCGAGTATTGGTTTCATTTAGAGTCTTTCTCTTATTTCTTCGCTGATTCTAATAGTTCTATCTACTCCGATCGTTCTTCTGAGGTATTTCATCTCTGCTATCTGAATTCTGCTCTGACGTCTTCGATTTAATATCCAATTTTCTGCTCCATATATCACTGTAGGTCTATATAATGTTTTTTATAATGTCATCTTGGTATTTGTTGATATTTCTTTGTCATTTTCATGTATATACTCTTTGTTGCTTCTATCAGTTTTAACTTACTTGTTTCTTCTTTAGACTTTCCCATATATCTTTTCTTTTGACTGAGTCGAATGTTTTCCATGTCTATAAAGCTCATATATATTTCTCTATTTTTTAAGGATTTTTCTATTACTTGTCGTACAGTGAATATATGGTCTTGTGTGTTGTGTCCTTTCCTAAATCCACCTTGTACGTCCTTTAATTTATGTTCTATTTCTTGTTTGATTTTCCTTGCTATAATGGTTTCGTATACTTTTGCTGCTACACCTAGTAATGATATACCTCTATAGTTCTTACAGTCTCTTGTGTTTCCTTTGTTGTATATAGGTATAATTACTGCATTTGTCCATTCTCTGGGTATTACTTTTCTCTTCCATATTAGGTTATATATGTATAACAATTGTTCTTTTGCTTTAACTTTTATATATTTCATCATTTCTGGTGCTACTTCATCGCTTCCTGGAGCTTTTCCAATCTTTATCTTTCTTATTGCTTGTTTCAGTTCTTCTTTTTCTATAGTTTCTGGATTTTTCGTGTTTCTTATGGATACTCTCTTAATATGGCTTTACTTCTCTATTGTATTCGCTTGGTTTTCATTCAGTATCAGATGGAAATGTTCTCTCCATCTTTTCATTATTGTCTTATCGTCGTTTATTAATGTTCCTTCCTTGTTCAGTATTTGTTTCAGTTTCGTTTCATTGTTGCTTCTTATGTTTTTCAGTGTTCTATAAAATAATTTTACGTTTTCTGTGCTGTTTTCTTCCATTTTTTCTCCGAATTTTTTCCAACTTTTCTTTTTCTCTTTCTTTACTATCTCTTTAACTTTTGTTCTTTGTCTCTTATAATTGTCATATTTTGGTTGTATTTTGTCTTGTATGTACTCGTTCCATAATTTCTTTTTTTCTTTTATTTCTCTTTTCACTTCATCGTTCTACCAAGATTCACCTCATTCTTTTTTAATTGTTGCTGTTATTTCATGTTCATTGTCCATTTCTTTCCCTAGCCGTTGTGAGTATCTTATTTTCGTCGTTTCTTCCCTTAGTTTATAAATTTTTATTATTTCTTTGTGTTTTCTGTTTATGTTCTCATTTCGTTTTATTTCTTTTCTTTTGGTTTTGAATGTGGTTTCTAGTAGATAGTGGTTACTACCAATTTCACAACTCCTTTTCACCCTTACGTCTCTTATCCAGTTCTTCTCTGTTTTTTGCACTATGGTATAGTCTATAATTAATTGTTCGTATCTGGAACTCGTTTCGACTACTCAGAAGTTTCTCTTTTATTCGTAGTGCAATTAAAACTAACTAATATTTATTAATACAGTTAAAAAACAGATAACTGAATATTTACTTACTTAAAGGTCCTTTTTATTTATACTTTTCACTATTTTGTATGCAGATTACACTCGAAACCACCCAAAATTGGAATTTAATTTCATAGCGACACTATAGGCTATTCCACGAATATACGACTGTTTTGGTTTACTGCGACAACGAATATTTTACTGTGCAAGTAGAAGTATGAAGGTCAATTGGTCTAATTATTATTTCAATAAAAAGGGTCTACTAGTATGACATCTAAACTAAAATTATTTCAGTTAAAATCTACAAATAAATGTAATGACGTCTATGAAGCCAAATGTGTTCATTGGACATTTGGGTAAGCTTTCCGTGAAATGTAAACACCAAAGAGGCGCGTGCCGGGTTTCTTTGATATAACACATTTTATTATAATACGTTATTAGGCATTACAACTGTAATAAAAAGAAATATACTATTTTTAATATAAATGAAAAGAAATTGGCAGAACGATGCTTCACAAACCAGAAAAAGGATCTAATATTTCACTTTGTTAGTTTTAAATATTTGTTTGCTTTGAGTTTATGTACTCTTAAAAGTTCCGAAAGTAACGGGTATAACATACCGGCTATTGATAGTTAAAGTACCGAGTCGTTACGGATATTAAAAAGTAACGAAAATTTATATACAGTTTCATATATGGCCGACTGATTATGGCTGTGAATCTGATCGTTGATGATAGTTTTAGAAGATTAAGAGAATAAGTGAATAAGTAAGTTTTTTTTGTTTTTTTAATATTAATTGAATATTCGACTAAAAAATTTACACTATTTGATCATTTAAGTATTGTTACATTTCGTTTAAATCATATAATTCAAAAACCAACTTGTTTACAATGAAATGATTGAAATGAAAAAATAAACTCCATGATAGTAAATATATACTTCAAAATCTGAATTACAACTGGTTTATAAACTATTAACTTTATATTTATATCATGACTTTATATTTAAATCTAAGGTTTATATCTGTCGTAACAGTATTTTAAAAATGGGGAGAATTTACTATTGTACAATTCAGTACATTGGACCATTTAAATCGACACCTTAAAGCCAATTTAAAACAGTCGTATATTCGTGGAATGGAGTATACACACCATTTGCTTTAAAACCTAAAAATTTTAAAATCTAGAAAGAGTTATCTTTAAAATTTTTTTTTCCAAGGTTCTTGAGTAAAATTTCACAAGTTGACTACTTCTCTTTGTCTTCTGACATTATGCCTGACACCTCTTGTTGTTGTCACTTAATAGAGTCATTGAAATAGTCCAGGATATAACGGTAAAAATAATAGAAAATCTCTGATTTTTTTTTATATGCATAGATTTGATAGAAATTTTGACAGTAGTTAAAAATAGATTAAAGATCCAAATCTACCCTATGGCAATATGTGCTTTTTCTTTGGAGGTGGTTAACACCATAGCTCGAAGGTGGAAAGGGTGTTTTGCAAAAACTATCGTAGTCGCTATAATTGTGAATTTTAAAACAAAAAAATACTTTTGTTATATATTTTTTAAAAAATCATAATTTTTTTAGTTATCCGTGACTAAAAGTTCACAATTTACACGTCAAAAAAGCTTTTTTTTAACGGTTTTTTGCGAATAAATCCAAAAGTTTAGATTTTTTGGGAAAAACGGTTTGGATGTAAAATGAAGTTCATAAAAAAAGTGATATGTTTTCTATTATTGCCGTGAAGTTCGTAATATACAAGTAATGACTGTTGAATACGCGTAAAACGGTAATTTTTTAATGAAAAACTTGTAAAATCGTTTTAAATAATCCACGAGGAAACTAAGTATACCATGTATCACAAAAATTTAAATAAAAATCATTTACAAAAGGTACATCATTAAAACATCCAATCGGGCTACATCACAAAACGTTCTCGGAATCTATATTCCATCATCAGTGTGTCCTAAAAGTATATAACCACTTTAATTAAAGTGTTTATATACTTTTAGGACACCAATAGCCATCTTTAGATGTATGGCCTAGGAGATGGCTTTGTAAGCCAAAAGTGCTCAGCTAGGAATTAAAATTGTTACACTTTAAAAATACGTTTCTTTTTCTATTTTTTGAACATTATTATTATTGCATTATGATTTTTTAGAACAACATTAACAAGAAATGTGGAAAAAATTTTGGAGAAGATCTTCAGAGAAAAATTTATTATATATTCATTCTTTTATGTATTTGATCGTCCTCTATGCTGTGCCTCTATGGGGTACTGTTGTTTTAACAACGGCGTACAGAACATAAAACACTAATGTTTGTATTTTGAGAACGATTTCCGAAGTGGAAATTGAAACGTCAATGAACTAACTTTAACCTTTAATTGTAGCTTGTTCCCATTTAAATAGTAATAACTTTAAAATGCCACAAGAAAATAGCTTTAGAACAATAATAAAAAAAATGTTGGATTATTATGAAGAGGTTAAAGAAGTTTTAGAGTTTATGTCATTGTTTATTATTGAAGTTACATTACGTAACTTTTTCTGCAAAAACCCGAATGTATCTTTCACATCCACTTTAAAACAGATATAAAAAACAGACCGCCATGGTGTAATAAGAATAAAGCTCTTTATTTTCTAATTGAGTCCCTAACTTATGACATAATATATTTTTTGGGTTGCACGTTTTATTTACTGTATAATTATGGCTAACCCATATTTACTTAAAATTGTTTTGCTTCAGGAATTTATATAATATTGAACGACACATATTTGGAAGATCTGGGCGGTTGTTAATTTCACTTAAAATTTTATTTAAAGTGAACATTTCAGTCTTAAAAAAGAAGCTGTGTACTATCTATCGTACAGATGTTTTAACTCTTTCACCATATGTTGGTATTCAACTATTTAACTCTTTCATCATAAGGACAGAAGGTCGGCCGCCAATATTTTTATTACAAATGACTGTTCGAGTCTTCTTACCCTTAATTGTTCTGTAAATAGTTGAATTTGCAACACCTAAAATTAGCAGATTACTTTGATAAATCTTGATTTTAATAATAACTGTTCTGCAAAACTAACCTGTTACCTGTTTTATACAGAAAATGGAATTTGGTACCATGGCTTATCCAATACAGGATAAGCCATGATACCAAATTCTATGATTCCATCATTCCAGGATTATCAATTTTTATTTGTTTGTATATGTTTATAATGCATTGGTTTTCATTTGATGATAAATAAACCAAATCTACGCGGCACTTTTTAGGTGGAGAATGATAATTACCACTAGTACTTCGCATTGAATCCATATTGTTACCCTAATAACACGAATACTCGCTAAATAGTTCTGAAAAAAACTGTTTTTTATATAAATGCAAATAAAAAAATCTAAAAATTAAAGGAATAACGCATTTGAAATTTAAAATTTCATAAAATGACATAATTTAGTGGAGTGAAACTTTCCTACGGTTGGACCAATTCGCTGTGAGTTTCGCCGGTAGCGCTCTCTCGCGGTTTGAAACTTGTACTTTTCTTGTAAAATCGGTGTAAGTGAAATATGACAAAACGAGAAAAATAGATATTTATCTAAAAATACAAAATTATGAACTAAAATAATATTGTAAACTGATTACTGAACGAATACACAGAATTAATAGTAAAAGTAATTACGCCTTTTTATTTTGTTTATTATAATATTAATATTTAAGATATAAGTTCCTGCGACTGGATGACTACTTACGTAAGAGGCCATGGAGAAAAAGAAGAAGTTTATGTGAAAATATTTAATGGTTAAAGGTTACCTTTACCTCTCGTAACAAAGATACTATGACTAAGAAGATAAGATAACGCATAAGTCGTGACGTCATTGGAGAGTTGCACGTTCGAAATGTCAGTTTTTTGTGTGTATCAATAAATAATCTTTAATAAATAGTTTGGAGATGTCTTTATGTGTACGATTATTGTAATTATTAAACCTCTTACCTTATTTTCGTCTAGTAATTTCATCACAGAATGCATACAAATCCAATTTTACTTTAACAAGAATTCAAATTCTACTCTCCAATGACGGCATGCGTGAACACGACCCATTTTGTGCTACGGGAAGATCCTATCTTGTTAGTCATAGTATCATGCTTGCAACGTTGTAATTCTTGTTTTCATTTTGCATTTTAATTCTGTTTTTGCTTAGTTATTTTTTGTGTACTTAGGCCTTAGTGCTTAGATATCAATTTGTTTTAATTTTATCAAAAAATTAAACATTATACTGGTTTTAAGTCTATATCACATGATATCCCATTTCAACCAGCTACACCAAAAATCTTATTGATAGCAATAATCCATTTTTCTCTTTGAACTATTTTATGCTTGGCAACAGGAAATGAATAGAATTTACAATCACTTATACCCAGTATTTTTACATGTATCAATACAACAGCTGCTGTATCTTTTTCTTTTTAAAAAATCCATATTCGCCATTATTTGAATGTTTACAAGTTAAATGCACAAAACTGCCACTAACAGCGTTGGTGAAAACTGTCAAATCCCCTCTACTCATCGGCTCACAGCGAATTGCAAACAAGCATTACGGCGCGGTAAATTTAAATTACTTCCAGATTAAAAAACAAACTTTAGATTATAAATAATAAAAACTCGGAATAACAAATAATTTATAATAAATAAAATCTTGTAGGTTTCAGAAATATCGACAGGCTTATTGGTTTTAATTTTGAAGAAACCCAACTACTGTTAAAATATTTGGCACTGCTTCATGCTGTACCATTAGCGATTAAGGTTAGAAATCCTGAATTCTTTCAGCAGGAAATCAGGCCATATTTAAATAACGCTCTGGAAAAGTATAGCGAGTTTAGCGAGGCTCTTCCTTTAATCGAAGCAATTCTTAATGAATCTGAGAAATGTGCACCTCTGGTGCCAAGGGTAAGTAAGTGACTTATACTAGGTTTATTAATAAAGTTATATTTTATATTTATATATATGTTATGATTTTATTGATTATTTATATATATATATATATATATATATATATATATATATTTATATATATATATATATATATATATATATATATAATATATATATATATATATATATATATATATATATATATATATATATATAGTAAAGAGTTCACCAAAAGGTCTACAAACTTTTTAGGTCAAAGAAAAAACAAATTTTTCTAACTTCGACTGCTATATACATACGAAATACTTTTTTACATATTTTTTATTATAATTACATCTTTAATTTCCTGTAATACAGTAGTCTCTCTTTATAACGATTCTCTATATAACGATAATTCCTCTATAACGATGAAAATAGTAAACGTTGTTTGGTCCGTCATAAGAACAATGCATTAATTCTTTCTCTATACCGATATCGTTCTCTCTTTATAGCGATGATTTTCAGCGTTCAATAGTCGATGACAAATGTGTTATTTTATTTAAAGTTCAGACTACCTTAGTCACGAGTGGCAAGGTCATTGTCCAGCGGTTGTTTACTTTTGCGAGTTGTGTCTTAGTCAGTCAATATGTTTTCGAAAAAGCCTAAAGTTCTCTCGGTGCAGGAAAAGTTATCGATGGCTCAAGCAATTGGATGTCGGGGCTATCTCAGTTAACTGTGGCTCCGATATGGAAGAACAGAAAAAAGTGGCTTGAAGCGGAGATGAAGGGCGGTAGCAGGAAGAAGTTGCGGAAATCTCAGCAGCAGCGTATGAATCCATTACTTTCTGGGCTGGACAAAAGCTGAGTTCTTTGCAACTGAGCTTGGAATTGAGAATTTCAAGGCATCTGAGGGTTGGCTGAGCCAGTGGAAACTGCGGCATAAGATCTACAACTACGGGCAAATCAGCGGAGAAGCTCGCGATGGTAAGGGATGATTGGCTAGAAAACGTGTGGCCTGGACTAAAGGCACGATATGCGTCAGACGACATTTTCAATGCTGATGAGACTGGATTCTTTTCTAAAATGACATTAAACACACACACACACACACACACACACACACACACACACACACACACACACACACACAAACCCACGTTACTTTAAAAACATAAAAAATATACAGGTGACCTATAAAGCAAACACGAGTGTGTGGATGACTGCGGAAATTTTTGAAGAAAGGATAATAAAGAGCTTAAAGGGAAAACATTCTTCTGCTTGTGGACAATTGTCCTGCTCATCCTGTACTGTGCGACCTTTAAAACATTCAACTTTGTTTTCTTCCAAACACAACGAGTGTCCTTCAGCCCATGGACCAAAGTGTCATCAAGAGTTTAACAAGCCATTACACGAGAAGACTTTTGATGGAATTGGTTGAGAATAATGGCGATCTTAAACAAAACATTTTTGACGCCATCCTTCATCATTCAGCCCATACTCGTTCACTGCTGAATATAGGCCTCCCGTAGTTCACCCCACAAATTTCTGTCCTGAGCCGCCTGCATCCAATTTTGATGTGTCCGTTTCAGGTCATCCGTCCATCTTGTTGGTGGTCGTCCTCTATTCCTAAAGGCATTTTGTCTGGGTCTCCACTCAAGAATGCGTTGTGTCCATCTGCCGTCCTTTGTTCTCGCGACGTGCCCTGCCCAGTTCCATTTTAAGGTTGATATTCTTTTGATTGCGTCGGTTACTCCCGATCAACGGCGCAATTCTGTGTTGGGTATTCGGTCTCTCAGGGTTACTGACGCCATCCTAATGGTTAGTAAATCTTGGGACGAGGTTACGAGCAATACAATAAAACATTCCTTCAAACACGTAGGATGGTTGGAAGATCAAGGATTGACTGATGATGAAGATGACCTGCCATTGGATGTTTGGACCAGACAGTTTGAACTTACTACCACCTACGGACCGGAAGAGCTAAACAGATTTTGAAGAATACAGTGACCCGGAAGTGGAGGCAGAGCCAAAACCAGCTCCGAGCCCTCAGCAGGAAACCAACCTCACTCTCAAATTTCTATAAAGTAGCGGGTTTTGCAGAACCCTCAACACGCAGAGGCGTTGCAGAGCACATAGAGAAAATTAAACAGATCGCGGACGAGCGGCATGCCCTATACTAGGCCCAAACACCACGACAGCAACTAAAATTCAGGAAAAGATTCCTTGGAACAGTGCAGAATAAATCGCCTGAGTATATTTTTTCCCGAGGTTCAATGGACCGGTCAGTCCCTAGACTTTAAAACTTGGAAAACTATAAATAGGATAAGAACAGGGGGGTCGCCCAGTAAAATCAAACATGGTAAAATGGGGGAAAATAGACCAAGATAATGTGAACTGTGACTGTGGAGAAGCACAGAATATGGAACATCTTCTGACATGCAGAAACATGCAGAAATTTACGGCTCGCCAACAAAGATGAAACCGACGTAGACCGATAATGGGTCAAAATTTTATGAATGACATGAATGTCCGGACACGATAAAAAAAGCAGGCATTAAATGCGGCAAAAGTACTGCATCGATTCTTCATCCACCAAGAAGACGATATGAGTGCTGTGGAAGATTATATGTGTCTTTAGGACATGGTCAGGTCAGTTCTGTGGAAAGGGAAAAGGAAAAAGACCAAGGTCACAGACTTTTTTGGTAATGTAGGCTAAATATATTTTACAGTAGTGTATTATTTTGTTAATGTACAGTACACATGTTTTAATTGTACAGTCTTCTTTAATAAATCTATGTGGTGTACAATACAGTGTTAATTCATTTGTATTTGTTTTGATAAATTTTTTAAATTAAAATAGGTTATTTAGGACAGTATTATTAATATTACAGTACCGAATTTTGTCTCTCTCTGTATAACGATCTCTCCTTATAACGATGAAAATTCCTGGTCCCTTGCATATCGTTATAGAGAGAGAGAGGACTGTATCTCACTGCAGACAGATTTATATTATTTTTTCTGGAATATAATGACGGTATTAGATTTTTATTTCGATGCGGGGCTACCGCAAGTCGTTTATATGTATTTCAACATCTTTAGGTCTTATCAGAAGCTGTTGCTCTGAATCAAGACAAAATCTATCCCATCGTTACAATAATTACCGAAATAATTATTTACAGAAATTACAACGCCACTTACAGAAATACAATTATTACAGAAATTACAAAAAATAGACGATGAAGTGGTGGGACGATACGGAGAAATGGTTAAAAATAGTTCAGGGGACAGTTTAATTGAGTTCTGTCAACTTTTTGGTTTAAAAATAATGAACACCCAATTCCCACATAAAGATATTCATAAATACACTTGGGAACGACCTTCACTCCACAGAAGTCGATCATAGACTATATAATAATGAGACAGAACTCAAAATTTAAGTGCCAAGACTGCAGAGTAAAAAGAGGGTCTAACTGTGGGACAGACCATTACTTTCTTTTAGCTAATATTTTGTGCTTATTTAAACAAAACAACAAACATAACACCGAAAGTCAGAGAAACAATACTATGCAGTACAAAAACGGAGAGATATAAATTGCATCTTTTATTTCAACCAAGTATTAAACATGTATATATTAAACATATATATAAAAGAAATATGGATGTAGAACAAGAATACAATAACCTCAAAATGATAATAAAAAAAATTGCTTATGAAGTATTAGGAACAGAGAACAACGACAAAAAACACCACGAACCACCATGGATGACAAAAAACGTAAAAGAAATGATACAAGAAAAGAACAAATTATATAAAAAATGGCTAACAAATAAAACATCTATCAATAGAGTATCATATCAAATGAAAAACGGAGAAGTACGCCAGCAAATAAAAGAAGCAAAAAACAATTTCTGGGAACAAAAATGTGTCCAAGTTGAAAATTTAATGGGTGGTTCTCAGACAACGGAAGCATGGAGAACTATCACTAATCTAAAGAAGAACACCCATAACTCATTAGTTAGTAAGTAAGCAACTTAATTTTTATAGAAAAATGGGAAAATCACTATAAAAATTTACTCCAAGAGTCCAGATTGGAATATATGGGAGAAAAATACAGTATGGAGAGACAAACAAATAGTATCATAAATACTACCAGCAACGAGGTCCGTACTGCGCTAATTAAAATGGAAAACGGGCGATCTTCAGGACCTGGCAATATAGCTGTAGAGCTACTTAAAGCAGGAGGTCCACTCCTAATCGAACGAATAACTTTTCTAATGAATCAATGCTGCCAACAAATTAAAATACCATCGGAATGGAAGACCGCTCACCAAGTGTCCATCTTTAAAAAGGGTAATCGAAAAGATCCTAACTGCTACAGAGGATTGAGTGTCCTACCTACTTTCGGCAGATTGTTTGGAAAGATAATAAATAGAAAAATACGAGATGATGTAGGACATCTAATTAGCGAAGACCAAAGCGGATTTACGCCTGGTAGATCTTGCACTGATAACTTGTTTATACTCCAACAATTAATAGAAAAAAGAATAGCGGTTGGTAACGAAGTACATCTAGCCTTCATTGATCTAGAAAAAACGTATGATACAATACCAAGGCCCAAATTGTGGCAAGCTTTACAACAACTCGGCATTAGTCCACACCTTTTAGGAATAATCACAGAAATATACAGGGATAACACCACTTACCTAAAAATCGGAAATAGACTATCAGAGCCGATAAAAGTAACTAAAGGACTGAGACAAGGATGCAGTATGTCACCTTTACTGTTTAATTTATATATTGAGGCAGCCCTTCAAAATTGGAAAAACCACTGCCAGGAATGGGAATCCCAATAGGAAATGACGTACTGTTCTCCCTGAACTTTGCGGATGACCAAGTCGTTCTAGCTCAAGATTCTTATGATCTAGAATTTATGATAAAGCGTCTATACATAGAATATGTAAAATGGGGGTTAAAAGTCAGCATGAAGAAAACGGAATATCTAGTTATCAATTCAGATGCAAGGTTTAAAGTGTTGA